AGCGTTCGTCCAGCGGTCGTCTTCTCCTTGTCCTCGCTACGCTGCGACGCAGACGCCAAGATGAGCGTCACCACCTCCAGAAGAGGCTGGAGGACCTCGTGCACGCCTTGTTTAAGTTTCTCCGCTCGCATCTGGGCTTCAGCCGCGACACGATGCATGTTGTCGTATTCCACTTGGAGTTTTACTAGCGCAACTTCTTTAGCGTGCATCTTGTCCTCGCTTCTAGCAAGTTTTTCTTCCAGTACGCTCTTTTGTCTGTACAATGAAATATTGTTATAAACAAAAGATATTCGTCACACTATGACGCTCAGATTTACCTCTGAATATCTGTTGCGTTTGCAACATGACATGCCAATTCACTTCGACATTTCCGGAGATCAGTGCGAAGCTCGGCACACAGTCGTTCTGCCTCCGTACGACCCACACGCAGTGCGGTAATTTCTTCTTCGAACTTAATAAAACAATAAACTTCAGTATCTTCAACGTAATTTTTAACATGGACCTACGCACCTCTACCCGTTCTTTTTCGTACTGCGTCTTGTGCAACCGGAGTAGTTCCTGACCAGCACGTACTTCGACTTCGAGTATTTTCACTTGAGTTTTGGACTGTGCTTCCAGGAAATCAAGAAATTCAGCATTCGTTGTCCCCATCGACTTGCCGGAAACTTCTCCATGTTTTAACCCCACGAAAATCAAACATTCTGCCACCATATCGAGAATCTGCTTGTGTAGTTGTAGCACCGCGCGTTCGAACTCGTTCGCCAGCTTTGTCGAGGATAGAGCTGAAGTGGATGTACTGAGGATCTACAATTTTAAAGATAATTTGGAATACAAGAATACTGTCAGTCCTAACATTTCGGATCCGTAGTATCTTAGATGTTACCTTCTCCATATCGAGAAGCCTGCTTTGCAGCTCTTCAATTGAGGCATTTGGAATTGTAGCGAGGTTACAGTCTGAGGTTGGATCCCCGTTCTCAGCCAAAATATGTAAAGAAGGTTCACCCAGCTTTGCTTCTTCAGTATGTAAGCTTTCATTTTTTCGTCTCGCTCCTAGCGTTTGATTGGTGGTGTCAGTACAATCGTCCTCGACTGCAAAAATTATGGGCGGTGATTGCGAAGCCGTCTTGATAGCATCGTTGGGGTTCGTTGCTAAACGTTCACCGCTTTCATCTGCAGTTATCAGGTGGAAACCTTGTGGCGGTGTCTTCTGATTGGAATCGTTTATATCGTTTTGGTACTCGGTTTCAGAGGAAAGAACAGCTTCGTTTTCTTCCGGTTCCGTATTGATCTCCACTGCAGAAGTGTGCTCGGACTCAGGTGCTTCTTGTACGGAAGATCGTTTTGGAGCACTGGAAGGGATCGTTTGCTGATTATTTGTTACGTTCTCTTCATTCACACCTTCGTTAGCAGTACTCCGAGCCTCATTATCCTCGTTTTGGTCATTTGTATTTGTTTGAATATCTTCCTTTGATTGTAGGGCCATATTTTGTGAATTCGGAATATCATCAAACTGGTCGTCCTCGATATCTTCAACAACGATAGCGTCATCAGCAGTATTATCTTTTGTACTTTGAGCCTGTGCAGCATCCTTCGCTTCAAGTTTAGGCCGTGTTTGAAAGTCACTCTTGTTTTCTGGTTCCGATACTTGCAGAGCAGATGCACTTTCGTCTGTTGTAGGCTTCATAGCAGCTTCAGAGACGTCTCTGAGTTGGTCATCCGGATTGGGTTGAGATCTCGAGTGTTCTAAACTGCGCGGGGAATATTCGCGTCGTTTTTCACCTTGCCTCGGTTTCCGGCGACGAACACGGAGAGCAGGCGTAGAGGCTTGCTCAGCAGCTGCAGCTCCGGCAGCATCAGCATAGGCTATGATCGCTCTGTGCAAATAAAGATAAGAAGTCTGTCAGTGAGGTCTCAATCACGGAGCCTCGATTCCCGTTACCTGTTGCCTAAATCGTTAATTCCAAGATTCTCAATCTGGCCAAACTTGCTAAACACTTGCTGCAGATCTATGTTAGACCACGTTTAAATAAATAAATGAGGTCTCACCTCCAGCTGCTCGACTGTAAAATTTGATTCTCCTGCATCCCAAGTAACCTGAACAAAATAAAGTTGCTTTGTCGAACCAGGGGTAACTGTATCAACCGTTGACGTGGATATCTGTTCGGGGATAGCAGGGATATTCATCTCGGTTGCACAATCGTAAGGCAATGAAGGAGCTTGTCGGATGAGGAACTCAGCGATGCATTTTCGGCGGCGCATCACGGTCTCTAGGCACAGTAAACAGATAGTTTACGGTAAATTCTACGGGTCTTGAAGTATAGTAGAGGGTGTTCGTACTCGAGTTCACAGTAATCTTGTCTTCTAATGGTCGAACCAACGCAATGCCGACATTCAAGGCGAGATTCGCCACACTCATATGACTTGATCCACTTGCTGCAACCTTGACACATCGTAATTAGGAGTCATCTGACACGCAAAAAAAGTTAAAAGCGAAACGTACATTATGTAAATGACCCAGGAAGACTTGTAGAAACTCGCGCGTGGAAAAAGGAATTTGTTTAAAAATCTCTATCACAACAATTTCTGCTTTTTCATTCATTTGTCCAGCAGATACAGCTTCCAATAGTTGGTGACTGATATCAGCAGGAATGAGCGGTTCATACAGCTCACCAAGTATCTAGACAGAAATGGCGTTCAGTTCGTTTTAAGAAGAAAAAAAATATCCTGGACCAATTCCCACCTCCTTGACGACGGTAGCCACAGAGTGAGGACTGTGCACGGACAAATCTGGCAATTGATTGCATCTACAGAGACGAAGTAGCTCCTTGCGTTCCAGCCCCACTCCGGATTTACTATAGAGCCCTTCCTCTTCGAGGTGATTTTTATCGAGAAACTTTACGACACGAGTCAGTGTTGCTAGCAATGCAAGCGGGATCGGAGAGGCAGTTGCATCGGTAGCGACAAGATTCGCAGAGTTGTTGTTGCTTTTGCGGAGCGTTGTTCTTGGAGACAGCGCGCTCGCTGCTATCGCCTTGATCCACGAGTGATGCTTCATCGTAAATTGATAAAGTCAACTGCCGACGTTTTGCGTAGTGCTCTATGAGTTTTATTTTTATTAAACACTAAACTGCCTACTTCGAAGTCGAATCCAACGCTAAAAAAAGCATCTAGGAAAGCCTTCCGGCGCAAGTAGCCTTCACCATCAGGGAGCGTTTACCGCACACTCGTTGAATTCACAGTTGAGCTCCGCAGAACGGTAGACCCACGTGCCATCGGCGCACATCGTGATGTCCCATTTGCACGCCTGTTAGCATTAGAAAGAGATAAATGGAAATACCACAAGTAAAATGTTCTTGAGCACACTGTACCTGTGGATTGTCGTCGAGCATCGCTGAGTGTCCCGCCGAAACATAATTGGAGAGGATGCAGATCACCCCGACAACAACCATAAGATGCATTACACTTAGCACCATGATGCTTCTGTTTCTTCTCAACAATACTCAAAGTTCGTTCTGCTAGAAAAGGCAATGGAAAAAATAAGACTCTTGCTCGTACATATTATTCATCCATGTCTATTTACTTGGAGCCATCTTCAGTACAGCTAGCTTACTGCAAGCAGCTCCAGATCACCGCGTAGTTGTCGAACAAGTTGCGCAACCTCATCATCACCAGGAAATTGTTGCTCCACAGCAAGTACCAGTTTGTCAACGATGTTCTGGTGGCGTTTGAACGCCCCTGTCAGACTTGATGTCCGCACTAACCCCTGAAGTACACGCAGTCGACGAGTCAAAACGGGAACCTTTTGAGCCACAAGTTCCTCCAAGAACGACGCGAAGATGTTCATCTCGCTCAGAACCAACGTCGATACACAAGCCTCCACCAGTAATCGCTCCTGTTCACGAGTATCCATCTCCTCTGGCGTCGTCGCCTGCTCCGACGTAGCATTATAAGTTGTCACCACCTTAGTACACAAACTCACAAGTTCTCTCTCCATCTCCACGGGAATCTCCGAGCGCTGTTGAGTCTGAGCAGTAGCAGATACCACACACGTCCGGTAAAACAGCAATAAAGTGTGTAACTCGGTCGCGTTCATGTCCTCACGCGCTTGAGCCTTGGCCAACGTCGGCGCCAGAATCTTCGGCAGGGAATTGCCCAAGTTCATCGCAATAAAAGTGCGGCACACGTGGCCAACAAGTTGAAGCTGTTGACGCTGCTGGAGCGCGTTAGTATCGACCGGAGCGAGTGCTGTACTGACCAGGAAACTCACAATGTGAGCGAGATCCACAGCCTCACGTCTCTGGAACAGAATATCAACCAGGAAGCTCTTAGCCTCGCTGTTTATACGCGGACTCTTGCAGCAACTTGCAAGTGCACGCAGCAGAGACACAGGATACCGGGGAATATGGTACACAAGCGCCACAAAGGCGAGTTGATCGGCCGCACCTAAGGCATCGAACCGGGTTCTGGCCAACATCCTCTGCTTCTCATCTTCAGTCATGGAAGCACACGGCACCGCTGCCAGATCGAAGAACGCTGACAAGTTGGCTAGCACTCCGTCCATCTGGTCACTAGTTGCGAATTCAGCAGGAAGCTGCTTGAGAACGGAGATCAAGGCCAGTAAACTGCGGCGGCCGAGCTCCATGTGCTGCGGATCGAGTTGGCCGAGCAGATCCGCAAGACATACAACCCACTGCATGACCATGGGCCACGCCAGCTTGTAGCTCTGTCGCTGTTGGCCACGGAGCGCAATTTCGAGCTGCTCGACGGCAAATGCTGTGCAGCTACGGAAGCTGACGGACTTGGGCGTGCACAGCACGTAGAATTGAGTCACTGCATCCAGCAAGAGCGTTCGTCCAGCGGTCGTCTTCTCCTTGTCCTCGCTACGCTGCGACGCAGACGCCAAGATGAGCGTCACCACCTCCAGAAGAGGCTGGAGGACGTTCTGCATGCTGGCCACCGCACGAAGCTCGACCGTCTCCTTGTACTTGGCCAGTGTACTAACCACATAGGAGCATGCACGCTGCTCCAACGCGTCCTCCTTGTCCGAACCTCGCATTAACGCAGGAAGGCGAAGATATTCACAGGCCAACTTGGCCAGCGCCGCATTCATCCCATGCCATCTTGAAAGCCCCGGGCCATCAGCAGCAGCGAGAGTCGCACTGGCACTTGGTAACATTGGAAAGTTCTCCGGTGCCAAAAGTTCCTCTCGTAACTTCAACGCAGCCTGGAAAAACTCGTTATTCTTTGCATCATCCTCGTCAATATTCAGCCGATCGGTATTAGCGCCGACCACAGCAGTCGTGCACTCCACAATGTACTTCATGTGCTCCACATGAACGTCCGAGAGTGCGTCGGTGCTTCCCTCAAGACACTCCAGCCACAGATCCAGTAGCGATGGCAATAGCGCACGTACTTTTTCCTGCCATGAAGCACTCGCCTTCTCTCCAGAGCTGGTAGTCATTGATGCAGCAGCAAACATACTGGTCGTAACAAGCCGCGGGGTGGGAAACAGTAGCAGCGACTTTGTCGTCGGTACAGAGGCCGACCGGGCCGTAGCGATCTTCCCACAACTTTGGCTAACACTCACAGATAGTAGCAATTTGTGTAGCACCTTGAGTGCCGAGAATCTAAGCGCCAGAGCTCCCGATGGCGCCTTGGGCTTCTTGCTTTTCTGCTTAGCCTTGTTGCTTTTTCGGCCACTGCTTCCTTTCTTTCCGGCCGAGTTTGAAGACTCAGTGCCCATTAACAGGTCGTATGTGTTCATCATCCTGATTCCTTGGGTCTGTGCGGCGCAGATCAAGTCCCTAAAATTCTCTAATAGTCTGGCCAAAGCCTCACGACCTGCGTCATCGCGTAGCAGCTCGGGTGCTTCATCCACCAGCTCGCCGATGGCTTTGAGAGCGTCCTGCCGTACGCCCACTTGCAAATGGGTCAGGCCGCTGCATAGATAAGTGGCCACGAGTGTGGCGAAGGGGGCCAGCGCACTGCGGAGCACAGGAAGTATGGCCTTCCACGCCTGCACTGCGGCTTCGCGCACTACAGCCTCCTCGTCCAGCAGTGTGGGCAAGAAGCGCTCCAGCAGCACTGAAGCGTTGGCCCGCAGGTTAGCCGCCGTGGCCTGCGTGGCTAACTCTTTAAGACCTTGCAACGCGCGTTGGCGTACATGCGCGTTGTAGTGGCCCGCCTGTTGCAACAGTTCCGGCAGCGCCTGACGCCGGTGCGTCAACTGGGCCGCGCCAGCCTTGTCCTGCAGAAGCGACTGCTCCAATAGATTAATGCGGCGAGAGGTGATGCCCACGGACGTCACATTAGCCGCGGGCGCAGCTCGGCGGCCCACCTTGCGCTTGGGCCGCTTAAAGTCCGCCGGCTTCTTCTTGGTCTTGGTGGCGATCGCGGCACGGGCCATCGAGACGATTTGGTAATGCGTTTTTGGCTGGTCATTATCTCCAGAAAGATGAGTGGATGAAATGTGATGGAATTGGGACAGGGGATTGGAGGAAAATACGATTTATTGGATGTTGAAGTGGGATGCATAATGTTGGCCATTTGATGCACATCGAAATGAAAAAAAATGAGTGTACAAAAAATATCGATGGAATTACGATGTTATCGATGGTACTTCGCTATCAAAATGCTAAAAGTGCATTGGCATGGCAGTTGCCGTCTAAGCGCAGACCTCGCCATCGGCGTTGGCCATGTCCATGACCCAGTAGTGCTTGTGCAGCTTCGTCTTGTCGTAGGCGTAACCAGGACCGATGAACTTGAAATCGCTGAAGAGATACGCGCTGGAAGACTTGACCCATGTGGCCACCACGGCATCCGCGCTAGCCTGACCGGCAGCAGCGAGTTCTGCGGACTGCGCGGTGTCAATGCCCTGGGCCTCGTAACGGGAAGTGGGAGTGGAGCCGTCCGATCCACGAGTGCTGACCTTGTTATTCTTGGCGTTGTCGTCAGCAAGGATCTGCGCCGCCTTTGCAAGCTTCGTGTTGATGCAGACGGGCTTGAGACCCTTCTCCGCTCGCTTGGCGTTCACAGAGTTCAGTAACTTCGTGCTGAAGTCGGCCACCTGCAATTCCCGGGCAACGTGGTTCTCGGCGTCGGCGTTGGCAATTCCAGCGAGGGTGACCAGTGCAAACGCGAATAGTCCTTTGATGTTCATGGTATTGCTTGGTTTTTTCTGTCTTCGGGTGGGGGCTACTTGGAATTTCGTCGCAATTTGGAAAGTGAGGAAGGTTACTGTGAATCAACAAGAAGGAGCCGCAGTCTTCGCCTCGGCAAAGCCTGTGATTTCCATCAATATTTTGTGGCAAGATGGGAACTCTCTATAGTGTGATCTCTATGACGCGATACAAGGTGCAATTCCATGCAGGCAATGCATGATGCATCCGCGTCATGTCAGGATAGTACAGTGTACTGTACACGTACAGTAACGTTGCAGGAAACCGAGATTGTAAAAAGCACCTAGCTCACCGAAACCAACGTTGAAGTCAAGCAACCAAGGACAAGCTTTGATTATTGGCGTTTCATGCTAAGGTCTACTAGTAACAGACAAGGTTAGCAGAAGAGGCCATCTATTTTAAAAAAAATATCGAGGTCAATTTTACTAGCGAAACGTACTACAGTATTAATAGTACTAAGTAGTATCCAACTACTGGTGCTATGGTAAAAAAAAAAAAAAAAAAGCGGAGCACGATAAGATAACAATGTGACTAAAGTTTGCAAATAACGATGAAATAGGTGAACGCTGTGTTCTATCTCGCATATAGATATTGCCCGTCATGCAACACTAGATCATAGGACAGCCTTTTAGGCGCTCTACGCACAGGTCTCGCCATTCGCGTTAGCGAGGTCGAGCACCCAGTAGTGCTTGCGCTAGCCAAGACTTGAGCCGCCTTTGCCAACTTCGTGTTGATGCAAACCGCCTTGAGTCCCTTCTCAGCGCGCTTGGCGTTCACCGCATCAAGCAGCTTTTTACTGAAGTCAGCGACCTGAAGCTCACGGGCAACGTGATCTTCGTGCACAGCAGTCTCAGCGTTGGTCATACCAACGAGTGCCACGAGGGCAAATGCGAACAGTCCCTTGATGTTCATGGTAGCGAAGTGTTTGATGTCGAAGAAGGGAAGGGGGCTACTTGAAATTGCTGTGCGAATTGAGAAGTGAAGTGAACCATGACATGGCGTGCGGGGTCACCTTGGCAAGGTTACCTTGCACAGCCCATGATTTCTGTATAGGTCGTAGGACGACCTCTATATCGCTCGAAATGATTCAATCTGGAAAACTGTTGAAGCTGGTCAATATTTCGACCACGAACAGCACAAAAGATGGGGTTCTAGACTGTAGTACATGTACAAAGCACTGTACTTCAAGTATAATACAGTCTGTATTATTAATACCTATTCAGGCCGGTAGGTGATCCAAAATCGTAGGAGCTTGTAACACTCTCAGTGGGTCAGGAACAACATGCTGGATGCTTTCTTGACCCACTACAGCACTGTGGTGTACTGCCATTCGTCAGTGCTGGAATTCTAGCAGCAGATCACTGTCAAAATTTGACTTTGATGACGATCGTGTGATCCACGGAAGCTGCAGAATCCAATTGCTATTCAGTACTTGGAGCTTATTCACTGATTTATATATTCAAGTATATGCAAGCTGGGCGCTGGTTGAGAAAGTGTTGGAAGAGCGTGTGTAAATGGAGGGGGGGGGGGGGGGAGTCCCCCCTGTCTTCCGCTCCAGAGAAGATGACCGAACTTCGCAATAAGATTCGACCTTATGTACCTGATGAATTCTAGGATAACCTGCTCTACGTCGCACCAAGCACACAAGAAAACGCTGCTAAGGCGGCAACACAAACCTGTCTAATTCTCGACTACTTTGGAGAATTGATTTAAAAAAAACCGCTGCAAAAAGTAACTTCACAAAATTTGAAGTCAAATATTTCTATTCTCGGGTGCTTAACTATGGAAAAAGTCATTAATGCACAAGAGCATTATTGCTGCCACGAGGTGAAAACTCTTCAGAAGAGGGTGTTGCCGTTACAGGTGTGCAATTAGAGTGAAGGTTAAGCACTTCTTCTGATCCTAAAGCTCGAATCACGTCCAAAGTAGTCAAAAGATCTTCATCAGTTCAACATTCGGTTCACGAAACCCAACTGGCAAGTACCTGGTCGGATGGAGACTGGCGCACGCCTCGTGCGACGATTTGGTGGCCAACTGCGAGACTGGAAATGAGCCCAGTGCTTTTCAGCGTATCCATATCCATATCGTTACTTGTAACGAATCAGAGGAAGGCCGTAGATTCTGTGAGCCCTTGCATCTAGCTCTGTTCGGGACAAACTATTGTGGTACATTCGAGGATAGGAATACCTTTAGACAGGAATAAATTGGCTGCTTCCAATGCTATGACTACCGAAGGGATCGTCTGTACTATTACGTGTCTCATTTTTTTCATCTCATAAACAGGTACTGTATACTAAAAAAATCGTTGACATAAAAGACGCAGAAAATAAAAAAAACCACTTTTATTAGGGCCAATCACATTCTAAATTTCAAAGTTGACGCAGTTCTATTGACGCAGTTCTAATTGGAGATTTTCTCGTTTTATATGGAGAAATTCTCAATTTGAACGTGAAACAACACTGAGAAGGCGAAGATGCAACGAGTCGCAACAGCGGCACACCTGTGCTTGTTGTTGAAGTTTGTTGGGATTTGCGAATTGCGTTCCCCGCAAATATTACAGCATTTACCTAAGATGAAGGAGTCCTTTTCTAATTCTTGTCGACAATGTTGCCGCATATTGGTAAGATGCATGCAATGGCGATAACCACAAACGAAGAGCGTCACTTACAGTGGCCGCCGCATGACCGCACCCGTGGACATCGGCGTACCCAGCTATGCGTTTTGATCACCCATGCGTACTAGGGAATCTTCCCATCCGTATTACGGCTCAGTGAGGGCGGGCCTGCTTTTGCCAAAAAAAATCATGAAATCATGGGCTCTGCAGGCCCGCGCGGACCCGTGCCCCACCGAGGCAGGAATCCTTTCGCCACGCCACAGAGCCACTCACTTTTGATTTTGCAGTTCGCAACACACCTGGAATATCCTTACCTCAAGAGCAAGAATCCAAGAACATCTTTCACCATGAACATCAAGGGACTTTTCACGCTCGCAGTTGTCGCGCTTGTCGGTATGACGAACGCCGAGGCCGAGGACAATGTTGTCCGTGAGCTCCAGGTCGCTGACTTCAGCACCAAACTCCTGAACGCTGTGAACGCCAAGCGTGCGGAGAAGGGCCTTGCCGCCGTGTGCATTAACACCAAGCTGGCGAAGGCTGCGCAAGCTCTCGCGGATGACAACGCCAAGAACAACAAGGTCAGCACCAAGGGCTCGGACGGCTCCACTCCGACGTCGCGTTACGACGTCCAGGGTATTGAGACCGCCCAGTCGGCTGAGCTTGTCGCTGCCGGTCAGTCCAGTGCCGACGCTGTTGTCGCCACCTGGACCAAGTCTTCAAGCGCGTACCTCTTCAGCGACTTCAAGTTCATCGGCCCTGGATACGCTTACGACAAGACTAAGACGTACAAGCACTACTGGGTGCTCGACTTCGCCAACGCTGATGGAGAGTCTTGCCAGTAAATCGGTGCTTGAGAGAGCTGCCTACCGCACTTATCCACCTGTAGAAAAACTATTCAACACATAATAACGGAGGCAGTAGCTGATTCTCAATAATAAAAAACAAAATTTGCAAATGAATTTGGCCTGGTGTGGCTGGAAAGCTTTTTGAATGACCGCTTTCCCACCGAAACAACTCATACATGTACAGGTACCGCCCTCCAATCCGTCCGAGGTACTACTCTCTTCCCTTTGCCAGGATATGAAGTGTATAAGGTTTTTCTTTTGATTTGCATTCAAATGCGCATAGCTGATGTATTAGCAACGACCTCATGGATATCTACGTCGCAGCTTTCGCTGCTCTTCTTTCTCGTCACTGCTGCCTCGCTCACACCTGGGAAAAGAATACCTGTGTGCTGGAAACAGTTCTTGATGGTGACTGTCTTCTGCATCTCCTCCCACAGCGCCTTCTCAAGTCGTATTGACGTCACCTTGACTAGCTTTCGCCTACTGGTGTCCTCGTGTGCGGGGCTCATGGTTTGCGGCGCCTTCCGAAGGATGTCGCTCACAGTACTTCTAGCTAATGGTCGACCAAGATTGTGACCAAGATTGTACGTTTTGGTCGACCACTCAGCAAGTTCGGCGTGCGTCATTCCAGGATTCTCACCCGCTTTCGCTATGAGAGCACGCTTATCTTTGATGGTCAGCCAGCGCCCCATGTTTGTTAGCCGCGCAGGGATTCAAAAGTGCGTTTCCCGCCTGATTGAAATTCAAACGACCTCCAAAAATGCATAATATAAATCCGATAGAGGTTATGGGAGGGACGGATTAGAGGGCGGAATCTGTATTGTCACCTCTCCTGGATTATTGCGAGGTGCTCGTAATCGAGTTCGTCGGCTCGAACGGCCACAGACGTTACACATGCTTCAACAAGGGTAACTTCAGATTTGCCTCGTCACTTGTCAGTCTAGGGGCGCGTGGCAAAATTCCACAGAAGACAGCCAGACCATAATGGATAGGCCTGCTACCTTCGATCCTGGCAGCGTAGCACAACGGACCCACACCAACGTAGCGTCCTGACTGCTAGAAAGACTTCCCTCGATTATACATTTGCTGCTTGCATGAACGCAATGCCGGTGTCACAAAGGATACGCGCATCATAACGTCGTGACGCTGGAAACCTGCACCACACACGTTGCAGCTTCTTGCAAGAGATACATATACCCAGTAACGATTGACCTTCTCGAGCGAACCTCCCCATCTGAAATCCATTCTAGTAATCCTGAGCTTTGCTTGACATGGAGTGCGTTTCTCACTGCAGCGAGGGCTCCCCTCGATGGCCCTTGCAATGGAAAACTTCTCCGTTCATTCTCCAAATTGCAGCGCAATACCAACTCTCCACCACTCCAAGTGAAGTACAAGAAGTATCATGAAGACCTTCCTAGCACTCGCTCTCATGGCTCTCATCAGCTCAGCCGATGCTCAAGTCGCTGACTACAACACTAAGATGCTGAATGCCGTCAACGCCAAACGCGCCGAGAAGGGTCTGAGTGCTGTTTGCATCAACACCAAGTTGGCTGCTGCGGCCCAGGTCCACGCGGAGGACATGGCCAAGAACAATTTCATTGGCACCTCGAGCTCGGACGGATCCGGCCAGATGGAACGCCTTGAGGCGCAGAATCTGACTGTGACCGCCGCTGCCGAGCTGGTTGGTGCCGGCTACACATCCGTGGACAGCATGGTAGCTGCTTGGCTCAAGGCCTCGAGCGACTACATCTACGCCGACTACCCGTTCATCGGTCCCGGCTACAAGTACGACAAGACCAAGCAGTACAAGCACTACTGGGTGCTCGACCTCTCGGACGGCGAGGGCGAGACCTGCGCCTAGATCCTAGACGCAAACTTTAACACTGGAAAAAAGACCATCGTTTGCTGAAATTTTGCATCGCTTAGCTAACGTCTCTCATAGTTGATGAACCGCAACGCTAGCAGACCCAGAACTCGCAGAACTGCAATGATAAGCACTACAACCCCCATGTTACGTGCCAATTGGTCGTGTCGAGCACCGAACGTGTACTCCACGTACTCCTTGACGCTTGAAAACGTGAGTGTAACTGGTGCGTTGGCCAACTTCTGACAACCAATGTCCGAGTCACCCGCAGACGGGCAATCCGCGAACACAAGCGCTGTCAATGCACTGAAGGAATATCGTAGAGGTACGATCTGGTAGAGCCACTTGTACCCGGCTGGAATGGAGTTGACTGGAGGGTTGAAGCCCATGAAGAGGAAACTGGCAGTGTTAACCACCACCCCGACAACCATGGCAAGTTCTGCTGTTGGTAGTGCATAAGCCAACAATTGACCCATGTATACTTGCAGTAGCACGAGTAGCGCTGTGTTGAGCCAGAAGAGCAACCACGATACGATACCACCCGTGAAGCCAACCATCGGGTAGAAGATCACGGAGAATAGAAGCGTACTGGTCAGCACGTACGGAATCTCGACGATCGACCCGGCGATAAAATACCAGAACGCGCTATACGTTTGGCCAGCACGTTCTCGATAGAAGGAGGCGCGATCACCCACTGCAACAGGGAGGACGCCAAAGAAGGACACGATCCCATTGAACCCCGTTGCAATGAAGAGCATACCAACGCCGGCATTCGCGCCAGCATATGATCCGTAGTCTGCCTCAAGGAATGCGACTCCAAAGATCAGGGCGAGTATCAGAGAGATACCAACACGCGTGATGTTGTAAGACGCTGTTCGCCAGTACGACCGAAAACTGCGTCGAACTAAGAAGCAAAGCTGTACCAGTGCTCCAGCAGCTCGCTTGCTTGCAAACGTCAGCTCAGCCAGATCTTCCGAAGGACACGCCACACCTGGTTCCTTCATCGCGGCATCCAACTGTTCCTGGAGTTTACTCGCCTTGAAAATATCTGCAAAGTCGACTGACACGCTTCCAGATTTTTTATCACCAGTGTTGACCCCCGCACCAATACACTCCAGCATCCAAGTAGCTGGATTAGCCTCTGGTTGGAGGGGAGTGACACCGGGAAGCTGTTCGAAGTATTGCACCAGATCGCGGCATTGCGGTCCAACATCGCCAAAGAATACTGTTCGACCACCTCGCTGCAACAATAGCACACTGTCGAAAAGTCCAAAAACTTCAGCTGACGGCTGGTGAATTGTAGTGAGCCGGAACGCGCCACCTTTTGTACCCCTTCCATTATGGCTTTAGCTGCGGCCGCGTCTAAGCCACTGGTAGGTTCGTCAAGGAATAAAATGCTGGGTTGGGCTGCTAGCTCCACACCAACTGTGAGTCGCTTAAGCTGCTCCATGGACGCCCCACGTACAATACGATCAGCTATGGGGTGAAGATCGAGTAGGTCGAGACACTCGCGAACTGTGTCTCGCTTGACGCTGTCGGGAACGTCTGCTGGCTGCCGAAGGAAGGCACTAAACGTTAACGCCTCGCGGAACGTAGCACCTTCGCAGTGCACGTCTGTTTGCTCGCAGTAACCAGTACAACGGCGCATTGCCAAGTCACTAGCTTCGTGTCCATTGAGTAGAATGCGTCCACTCACAGAGCCTCCTGGCTTGCGGTGTGCAATAACATCCATCAGTGTGGTTTTACCAGCACCAGAAGAGCCCATAAGTGCGGTCATGAATCCCGGCCGTGCAAATCCAGAAACGCCCTTCAGAATTTGTAGCATGCCGTCCTGCGTTTTATCTCGACTCAAGACCTCAACATCTCCCTGCTGTAAGCCGAAGTTTGCTTCAGCTTCCATTTGTGCATCACTGTCTTCTTTATCAGGATCTGTTTTCTTCAGGTGGTGGGGCATGGGCACAGAATACCAGATATCCTCGAACGCTAGTGTGACTGGAACAAAGTTTCTTTTGTAATCACCAGAGGAAGGTTGAACCGTGATATCCACCGACTCCGTTCCCCGTGGAGTCTTCACCAATCCGTACGAGCTGTCCCTCGCATTTTTCAAGTTTCGGGGCGGTTCAGCTTCCGATTTCTGGTTTCCATTGTCAACTCTATCGTAAGACACTCCAGCATCCTCTGGTCCCTCAAAGCGACGATGTTCCAGGGCCCATACAGCGAGAACCAAGAAGAGGAGATAGCAACCAACAACGACAACCATACTGAGCTCCACGTACTTCTTGTCCGCTGGAACGTCAAACAGCGACAGATAGTACTCCCCCATAGTTCCTCCCGATAGAGTACAGTAGTCAACCTCTTCGTAGATGCAGACGTCGAAACGAGGCGCTCGAAACTGGTTTACTGCTAGTCCGCGAATCCCCCACGCTACGGGACTCGCCCAGTAAAGCCAAATGAGATAGTCCGGAATCTGGTCTTTCGGGATGGCGAAACCCGAAAACATGACGAAGAAGAGAACGGACAACATCGCCATGGGCATCGCCACGTTCATATTGGGCGTGAACGCAACCAGAAGGAAGTACCAAGCGCCAAATGCCAAACTAGAGAGAAAGACGATCGCTTCGTAGCGTACGAAGAGCTCAACGTCGGGCACGAAGCCACACAGCCAGTAAATAAGTGACCCGAAAACTAGTGTCTCGAATAAAGCCACTGGTACGTGGCTCAGTGTGCTAGCAAGCACAAACGATGACGAGCGATAGAAATTGGCTCGACGCTGACGGTAGAAGATGTCGCGTGCCTCAAAGAGCGTCGGGATCTGCGCTGCCTGGCCCAGCGACACGAAGAAGATCACGGAAAAGACCACACCCATGATCACTTGCACGTCGGTAGCCTCGAAGTCATAGAACGTGCTGGCATACAGCAGTCCCATGACTACAGTCATCACTGCTCGACCGACTACGAATGCAATGTTGCGACTCAAAACCAGCATCTCGCGACGTACAAGCGTCCATGTACTAGCGCCGAAGCCTTGCTGGAATTCCGGAATCAAGTCCACGTACTTGTGTGTGTTTTCAGCCATACTAGCATCGACTGGAGTCTCCAATTGCTGCAACTGTTGCTGGTAGATCGACGACGACGCAAAAACTGCAGCGTACTGCTCCGCCGTACGCGGAGATTGACTTGAACCTGTTTGGTACCGAACCTGTTCATCCGTACCCAGATCCATCAAGAAGTCCGCAAAGTCGCGTCCCGGTGGGCAGTAGAATCCAAGGCTTTCGAAGTAACCTCGGACGTCTCTCACGGGGCCATGATAAGCTACTCGTCCTCCCATGAGTAGCAGAACATCGTCAAATAACTCAAAGACCTCGGGGGCAGGCTGCAACAATGCAGCTACAACAGTCTGGTCAAAGGAACGAGCTCGACCTCGTAGGGTTGAAACGATGTCGAAGGCTGCAGCACTGTCGAGTCCTGTGGTAATGCTATCCAAGAACAAGGCGAGTTTGTATCCGACCAACATTTCTCCAGTGGTAACGCGCTTCTTCTCACCTCCAGAGACCCCACGCTGCAGGTTCCCACCGATGTTCGTGTCTGCGCAGTGTTGCAAGCCAAGAAGCTCCAGAGTGATCTGTGGCAAGTGATGCAGCAGTGAGCATGCCGTGGCTTGTGCTTGGACGTTGTCTTCAGTCTGTACTGAACGATTCAGCAAGTCCTCGACATGCTTGTTAAAGTACGCGGTGCTACAAGTGTGAGCGAACTCGTGCGTCTCACGAACTGTCAGAGTCGACAAGTGCAGGTCTTGCTGAGGAACGTAAGCAGCAAATTGCGGCAAACGGGTAGCCAGAGATTCGCGAGACTCATCGTTAAACATGACGTCGCCGTCCACAGTGATATCTCTACTTTCAAGAGGGAACCGACCACTTAACAACTGCAGGAGCGATGACTTGCCTGATCCAGGTTGACCAAGAACGAGCGTCATGGTTCCAGGTTTGAAACCACCCGAGATATCTCGCAGAATGAAGCGATTCGCAATACTGTCATGGCCTTGATTCAAGCAGGCACTGAGAGACTTGGTGACAGCGTGACGGAGTACAGTTGGCAGTGTCGGGAGCTCCGATGTTGCACTCGATGTCGTGTCACGCGTCTTCACTCCAAGTGAGAGATTGTGCATTCGGATTTCGAGTCGAGGAAGCGGCCCAGCAGCCAGACTGAACTTGTTGGCTACGAAGCGATGGAACGCATCGGGGCCAGATGCTATAAACTCACTTGCTGAAGTGCCAGCGATGAATTCGTTTTGCTTGTCACTTTCTTCAGTTTCCATTGGTTTCGTGAATTTCTTGAAAAATGCGTTGAGGCTTGCCAAGGTGAAGGCAAATTCGGAAGTGATCAACGAGCAGGAATATCGAGAAGATATTGCAGTACCGCAAGGCCTAGCTTTCGATGGGTGGACTTCACGCCAAAGTCTCCGATAAACACCAGATCCAATGTTTTGTCAGCGAGCATTTGGCATAATACTGTATAAAAAGGGGCATGTGAAACCGGAATCGTAAATTTGTGGAAAAAAGTCAATTCATTCGGAGCGATTGGCGCTTTTTTTTTAGCTGCGTTGACAACTCTACGGAGCCTTCTCGCTTGTCTTGTCCTTTGCAGTCTTGTCCGAAGCAGGCGTCTCCTTCTTCTCTTCCTTCTTGTCCGTCAAGCCTACCTCCTCCGACTCTTTGTACTTAATCTTGTTGTTCACGAGGTTGTGCAACGCGATCGTGCAGCGGATCAACGACGACAAGTAGATCACCTGATAAAACAAGTAAAAACACGTCAATAAACCCATTTTTTCACGTCAAAAAGGGAGTTTCAATACGTACGAAATGCATGTCGTTTGTCTTCATGAACATGGAGCGCACGAGCTCGTCGATGTTGAGGTTCGGCAGCAGATTGAAGATGGTCTGCATGTTGTAAATGATCTGGTGATTGGGTGGCAAGCGGCCGGCCACCACGTTCTCCAGGTACGTCTTCATCTCCTCTAGTCGCTCTTTGAGTCCGTTAAGCGCCGTCATTTTGTGCTTAACCTGGCCGGCCAATGAGCTCACCGATGGATCGTTAATATCGCGCAATAAGTGCTCCACACCGACCTCCTCGGCCTCGTAAGCGCCGACAGTGGACTTAATGTGCTTAAAGACGCGTTTGATGGCCTTGCCGTCTTCCTCCACCTCTTCAATGGAGCCATAGGCTGTGGTGGGCAGACCTTCCACGTTGGGACGCACGTCACAGATAACCAGCACCGGGTTCGGGCAGTAGCGGCGGAACAAGTCGTCAATATCGAGGTCGGCCTTGCGGATCTTTGGGCCTGAACTGTAGAAGCCCACAATGCGCTCCTTGGCGTTTATTTTCTTGAACATCTGATACATGTTCTCCAAAAAATCGTGGTCCAAATACCAGATCCCTGGGTTGCGCAGGTCCTCGTCGAAAGGCACGGCGAACGAGTTGGTGATATCGCACTTGCCGTGGAACGTCGAGCCAAGAAGAACGCCGACCACGCGCTTGCTCGTATCACGAGCCACGCGGTTGTAGTGGTCCACGATGCTCAACAGCACCAGAGGGTGCGTCACAACCTCCTCAGGCAGCCCCCGCGTCGTCGTCGTCGTCGTCGTCGTCTCCGCCATCACGATGTCTATTAGACGAGAAGCTACAGATCTATTCAAAAGCTATAAAATCTTCCCCCTGAAAGTAACGATATGATGTTGCGATAGTGTGGCGGACATCAATTATTTCGCGTTTTGTACACAACCTGAGAGCATTATTGATGATGCCTTCGCCTGCGGCAGTGCGAGCCATCTACAGGTGTCTCCTGCGCGACGCGCGCGAGCTGCAGCGTACGCCGCACTTCAATATCCGTCGCGAGTTGCAGCTGGAGCAGTGGGGAACCGGTGGCTTCGTGGAACCACTTCCGACGCAAGAGGATGCGCAGAGCACGAACGATCCGAGGGTCCTCACATCGCTGGACGAATTCCGGAGGCTGAGGGACAATGCATTTCGCATGGGATCGCCCAGCGTCGACATCGTTCAGAGCATCCGGGTGGCATTTCGACAGAACATGCAGATCAGCGATCAAAAGGTGAAAAAATGCGGATCGAATTATTGAGGGTGGGCTGATGGATCGCTGATCTTTTGTGTGTGGCAGGCTGCGAGTGCGAAGTTGGACGAAGCAATTGAGTAAGCGGCAATGATTTTGAAATGCTGTTGAGTTTTAGGTGAACTCACTATTGGGGTTTCAAATGTTGCAGAGCGTTGAGCGAACTATCAGACCAACTTTTGTTAGCTCAGTGCTCCAGCGGTACGTTTGATCATAATTGAGTGGGATGGTTGTGGGTTCCTGATAGGCAATTGCTTGTTGTTTGATGTTTACAGTGACTGTGACAGACGGTATCCGCATCGAGGCATCGAGTAAGTATGTGCAGAGCCACAGCAACCCAGCCTCGAACACCTACCGCTTCACGTACCGGGTTACCATCACTAACCAAAGTAAGGATCTTCTAATCGTGTCAATTGCTGCTCCATGAGACTACGCATGTTCACACGTTCGTTTGTGTATTCTAGATGAGGGGTGCTCGATTCAGATACTGGGACGCCAATACACGTTCGAGAGCGAGAAGGGCCAAAGGATCGCGCTTCCACGGAATTCACCTGGAATCGTGGGCGCTACACCTCTACTGTCGCCGGGTCAGACGTTCGAGTACGCCAGCGGAGTAGACATCGACGCCCCACGAGGCTCCGTTACTGGCTGTCTGCACGCTGTGCGCAAGACGGGCGACGACGACGACGGTGATATCTTCGACGTGCTTGTGTCGAAATTTGCGCTGATAGCTCCAAACACACCTAGCAACAGGTGAGCTGGTTGCAAAATGAAGCTACAAATCATTCCCTGGCTTCGTTATTGCTGCAATGCAACCTTGTCGATGAGGCCCCAACTACGATCACCTCGCAGTTTGCCCCGGAGCAATATACCGTTCGTCAGTGTCGTCACTGAGGCGTTACCAGCAGCACGAGAACGGAGAGTAGTTCAATGGGTTTTTGCGCTGCTCCTACTTTAATGAAGTGGGGCCCTAGTGACCCATTAGAAGGTGTGTGTACATTTACTTCAGCACTTCTCTGCTGGCTTCAGAGCATGCATACGTGGAGTTCTGTCGACGTCGAGCTGTTGCTTTCATGCACTATCAAAAACTCGTATCTCCATCAGCCAAGCATGCGCTACTCCTAGGTCGCTTACTCGACCAGCGCGTGGTACGTTGGGTAGTACATCTTGGAAGCGACAAAGTCCTCCAGAGTTCCGCCGCGGCGAATCGTCGGCCGGAAACCGGCAACGTCTTCCTCAATAGCAGTCTCACAGACCGCAGTAGCCACCTTGAGCGACACATCACGGATGTTCTCCACGGACGGGAACACCTGGCCGTTCGCAATCTCCTCCGGAGTCATGCACTGCGACAGCGCCTTGGCAGCCGCGTAGAGCATGCCGTCCGTCACGCGGGTGGCCTGGATCACCGACGATGCGAGACCCACACCTGGGAAGATGAACATGTTGTTGCACTGGCTAATGTTGTATTGCGTGCCGTTGTACATGACGGGCTCGAACGGACTGCCACTGGCGAACACGCACTTGCCCTTGGTCCACTCGTAGGCCTGCTCAGCCGTACACTCGGCCACTGACGTGGGGTTCGACAGCGGGAAGACAATCGGGTGCTCTGCGTGCTTGGCCATCTCTTCCACAGCCTCCTTAGTGAAGGCACCGGCAGCAGCACTCAGGCCCATCAGCATCGTGGGCTTCACCTGCTTGATCACGTCCACAAGACTCGTCTTGTCAGCGATATCCTTGCGCGAGAAGAACTGTTGGCCCGAGTTCAGAGACTCGCGAGATTCGCCCAGTAGTCCGTGCTGGTCGAGGATGTAAAAGCGCTCACGAGCCTCCTCGGTCGTCATACCTTCACGTAGCATGCCCTGGAGCAACGTGGTGGCCACGCCCAGACCAGCACTACCAGCGCCTAGAATTACAATGCGCTGGTCCTTGAGCGGAATGTTAACTCGCTCACATGCGCTCAGAGCGCCAGCCAGAACCGTGGCACCCGTGCCTTGGATGTCATCATTAAAGCAGAGCTGCTTCAGACGGTACGCGTTCAGCACATCAGCAGCGTGTTCGCTTGAGAAATCCTCGAACTGCACGAGCACCTTGGGCCAGCGGTGACGCACAGCACGCATGAACTCGTCCACCATAGACCAAAAGGCTTCACCGGTGAGACGCGGCTGCTGTACACCGAGGTAGTACGGGTCCTCGAGGAGCTTCTTGTTGTTGGTTCCCGTGTCCAGCATCACCGGGAGGACCTTGCGCGGGTCAATGCCACCAGCAGCCGTGTAAAGTGCCAGCTTTCCGATAGGGATACCCATACCGTTGGCGCCAAGGTCACCAAGACCAAGGATACGGCTACCGTCCGTGACCACGATCACCTCCACGTCGTCGCACGGCCAGTTGTGCACCATAGCGCCGAACTGACTGCGATCACGCGTGCTGAAGAACATACCACGCGGGCGACGGAACAGGTGACCGAACTTCTGGCACACAACACCGACGGTCGGGGTGTACACGATGGGAGCTGAAGTTGAAGTTTGACATGCACACAAGTGTGAGTTGGCGGCGACAATTATGAGTTTCTAAATGAACGCACCCATTTCTTTCATGTGCTTGATCAGAAGACGGAAGAAGAGCGTCTCGTTACGGTCGTGCAGGTCTGTGAGGAAGCGGCTCTTGCTGAGTGGGTCCTTCTCCTGGCAGAAGGTGTCGTACAGCTTGGTAAGCTGCGCCTCCACCGTCAGGCGACGCGGCGGCACCAGGCCACGCAGACCTATCGATTGCACACACGCAAGATATTAGACTGGGTTGCAATAATGCATCAAATCGATCACTAGCCCTAGCGTACCGAGACGGTCTCGCTCGACGTGAGGGAAGCCTGTGCCCTTGTTGTAGAGCGGGTCGTGGATGATGTTGAGACCCTTTAAGCCCGTCTTGATGGGCGGGTTGTACTTCTTGAGCGTCGTTAAGTACGTGTCGAGCGTGTCATGTTCAGAGCCTGTGGGTTCGCCGAAGTTCATGGCCTCCTCGTCCTCCTCGTGGTCCTCAGTGGAGATGGGCGCCGATAGGAAGCGCGTCTGCAGCGCAGTGGAAGCACGTGGCACAGCGGCCGCCGCATGCTGCAGCGAGCGCTTCTGGGAGCGTATCTGGCGCGCCAGCATTGTGCAAAGGGTGTAGGAAAAGTGGTGCTTGGTGCTTGGGAGCGAATTGTCGAATAACCAAGCAGCCACACGAGCTGACACTGATTGCTGTGCTGCACACAAATTGACTGAGGTATCCGGTGACGGCAGACATGCTAAGCCTGAAAACTGTAGAGAGCTCTTCAAGCCCAAATCTGCCCAAATTGTGCCACCATCTGACCGAGCCCATTATGAGTGGCGGAAAATGAATAACTTAGAATATCATTGGCTGAAAACATGACTTGATAAACAGCCGGGATGTGCATCATTTTGACTGTTTGAGCGTCATTGGGCTGTTGTTGCCGCAACAACACGCTGGCAGAACGCAGATCCAGTGCTCGATTTCTAAAGTGACGGCCCTGTCTCAACTAACTACAGGAGCGCTGCTTCCGATACCTTTGGCCGCCAGGACTTCCAACAAGCTACATGTACCCGAGTCAGACCTGATGAGCAGCACTAGTTTAGTTCTGCCACCGATTGGTTCTTCTTCAAGAGGGACATACGAAGGTACACGCGGTGTAAACAGCACGAAAAGCAATGGTGGCGGTTGTTAACACCGAAACCAAGAGATTTCGAGGTTGAGGTCGCCGCATTCGTGGAGATGGTTGGTGTAGCATACCCCCAATGCAGAGAACACACCTCATTCTTTCGTTTGCAGCGCTAATGAAACTTTGTTTCTTGCGAGTAGTCACCGCCAGAGCTCTCGAGTAACGTGGACGTTTACAACCTTATTCCTGATACTCATCACCAATGACCGCTACTGTACGGTAGAATTGCAGTATATGTGTTCTTGTGCAGGCACTGTCGTTGGAATAGCTAGGTGCGTGGCCTCTGTATTTCGCTGAGTGAGCAGCAGCATCGCTCGACACAGCTCAACAACCGCTCAGTTCGAACTCCTTTTCTCCAGAACATTTTGTGCGTCATTAACGCACCATGGTTGCCAACCAATGGCAAAGTTTTTAACGATAAAGTTGAACTTGGGACGTTGAAGAGCAGAGGCCGGGTGCCGTAATATTGAAAACGTGTCAAGCAATGTCCAATTCGACGTACACATTTTGTGATTGTGTGGACAACATGATATTAGTGTGCCGAACGTACAATTGGGTTGACCACCTCACCCACAATTATGCGAAATGTGTCGCCGAAACACGTGCAGCGTAAATCACAAATGTGGCATAGTGAATCCAAGTTATTTCCCCACCGTGTCATCGAAACTTGGATACGTTTTCAGAAAAATCCGCTGGAAGCTCATTTGGCAACTAGCCTTGAAGGAGAGAGAATCTTTCACAAGCAACAACATTATGGCGGACAGCGCGTTCAGTGAGGCGGGCAAGAAGGCCGGACTGGAGGCCTGGCGCATTGAGGACCTCAAGCCCGTGGCCGTGCCAGCCGCCGAACAGCACAAGCTGTACAGTGGGGACAGCTACATCTTCCTCAAGACGAGCGAGGCGACGACGTACGAACGTACAACCCATTATCATTAATCCCACACACTGCATCTAACCTGTACCTGTGCGTCTCTCTCTCTCTCTCTGCTATCAACAGCGGCTTGACATGGGACATCCACTTCTGGCTGGGCAAGGATACGTCCACGGACGAGAGCGGTGTGGCTGCTTACAAGACCGTGGAGCTCGATGACGCGCTAGGCGGTGTGCCCGTGCAGCACCGCGAGTGCCAAGGCCACGAATCGGTGGGTTCATTATACCTCAATTCATTAAGGTTGCCTCGACTGACTAATAAAATAATTGTGTACCTGTAGCCTCTGTTCCTGTCGTACTTTAAGTCCACCGGCTTGCAGTACCTCGAAGGTGGCGTGGCCAGCGGCTTCAACGAAGTTAAGCGCGATGAGTACGCGACGCGTCTGTACCGTATCAAGGGAAAACACACGGTGCGCGTCGAGCAGGTGCCGCTACAGAGCTCGTCTCTGAGTGTGGACGACGCCTACGTCCTTGACGCTGGCCTTGAGCTCTACCTGTATGCTGGCAAGGAGGCCAACCGTCTCGAGAAGTCGAAGGCTCTGGAGTTCATCACCAAGACCAGGGAAGCTCGCGGAGGTCGCGCTGACGTCACATTCATTGACGAAGACCCGGAAAATGCTGCCTTCTGGGAAGCTCTGGGCAGCTTCGAGACTGTGACGCGGTCGGGTGAGACTGACGAGCACCACGAGAACGCAGTCAAGAAGAACACAACGGTACTGCGTGTAAGCGGCTCCACCGACGACAACCTGCAGGTTGCTGACGTTACTCCGTCATCGGGAGTGCTCACCAAGGACATCTTGAAGACCGAGGACGTCTTCATCATTGATGTGGGTAACGAGGTGTTCGTGTGGGTGGGTAAAGCCGCCTCTGACAGCGAGCGCAAGAACGCGTTGACCGTTGCTGTGCACTACTTGAAGGAGGAAGGTCGTCCCTCACACACGCCTATTACTCGTGTGGTTGAAGAGGGTGAGACGCCGTTGTTCACTGCGCTGTTCAAGGCGTGGACGGAGCCTAAAGTGCTTGAATTTGGCTACCAAGCCAGCAAGGGGGTTGCGAAGATGCAGGACGACAAGCCTGTTGATGTTAAGGCGTTGGTGAAAGCTGCGTCGCAGGATGAGGAGGATATTGGAGTGGATCCTAACGGTGATGGCAACCACGAAGTCACAGTGTGGCGTATTGAAGACTTTGACAAGGTGGAAGTGCCTAAGGAACAGTATGGACACTTCTACGATGGTGACAGCTACATTGTTCTCCATGTGGTGACACCCTCGAGTGGCAAGCCAACGCAGGTGATTTACTTCTGGCAGGGACGCTCGTCCACGACGGATGAAAAGGCTGCGTCGGCTCTGTTGGCAACGTTCTTGGATGACAGCATGCATGGAACTCCGGTTCAGGTCCGTGTGACGCAGGGCAAGGAGCCGGCACATTTCCGTGCGCTTTTCAACGGAACGATGATCGTGCACGCTGGTGGCAAGGCCAGTGCGTTTACTAACCGTGACGATGAGGATTCGTACGACACGGACGGAGTTTCGCTGTACCAGGTCAAGGGAACCAACGAGAAGAATACTTTGGCGGTTCAGGTGGACGAGAAGACGTCCAGCCTCACCTCGGGCGACTGCTTTGTGTTGGTTACTCCTAGCAAGGTCTACGAGTGGCAGGGTAACGGTAGCAGCGCTTCTGAGCGCGAGATTGCGTCCAAGATTGCCTCGATCCTCAAGAAGAGCCGTGATGCTGAGGTTGTCGAGGAAGGCAGCGAGTCCGATGAGTTCTGGGAGTTCTTGGGTGGCAAGGGCGAGTACGCTAAGACCAAGTCTTCGTTTGAGGCCCCTCACGAGCCTCGTCTGTTCCAGTGCTCGAACAAATATGGATACTTTGACGCTCGGGAGATCGTCAACTTCGGCCAGGACGACCTTAACACGGACGATGTCTTCATCTTGGATACATACACGACTCTGTACGTCTGGATCGGTGCTGGTGCCAACGAACCTGAGAGACGAGAGGCCATGGCGCTCGCTCAAAAGTATTTGGCGGTTGCCAAGAGCGACGGACGTGGTGACGGTACGCCTATTGTGGCCGTCCACTGCAACAACGAGCCGCTTATGTTCACGAGCCACTTCTTGGCTTGGGACGACGAATTCTTCACCAAGAACGAATTCTTGGACCCTTACAAGACCCGTCTGCAGAAATTAAAGGAGGAAAAGGAGAAGAACGCCCCCAAGGATCTTCCTGGCACCATCACTAACGAGGATATCCGGGAGAAGGAGGCTCCCCTGTCTCCCAAGGCTCCAGCATCGCCCAACGTTGCTCCTGTCGCGACAAGGGCTGTCCCTATTCTGCCTACGGAGGCTCCTGTGCCAAAGGCCACTCCGGCATCGCCCAAGGCTACCCCGGTGTCCCCAAAGGCTGCTCCTCCTGCTCCGGTTTCGGCTAAGGCGACGGGCAGTGCTGGTGAGACTTTTTCGTACGAAGAGCTGAAGGCTGGCGTGGAGGGTATCGACATTGCTAGAAAGGAGGTAAGTGAAGATGTTTGTGGCTGTATATTCACGTAGTTTTTCGATACTGACATTTTTTTTTATCGTACAGAGCTACCTCACGGACGCTGAGTTCCAGACGGTAATGGAAATGAGCAAGGACGAGTTTGAAAAGCTCCCCAAGTGGAAGCAGCAGGCCAAGAAGAAGGAAGTCAACCTTTTCTAAGCTGCAAGATCATGACTGAGGAGCTTCACTTCTCGCAGTCCTGTCGTGTATGCTGCAATGTGAAAAAGATTTTCATAGCTTACGTGATATGAAGTAACGAAATACGACATGCAACATTGCAACAACATACACTCCTCTTGTAGCGTTTTGCCGACTACATTCACTCTTCTTGTTGCCTTTTGCTTCAAACTCGACACGACGAATTTTGCCGGATATTCGAACTGCATTTGTTGCCGGATAAATTTCGATACTGAACTCAAATGTAGCACTTCGTATCAGACCAAGATGGCGACAGTGACGCTTGGCCGAAAGCTCGCGCCATTCACGCCCAGCGGTGACGGAGTGCTGGACCATGCGCTCGATCTACTGGCGCTCTCAAGCGACGACGTGCTGTTCGACTTGGGCTGCGGTGACGCACGGATACTGGTGCACGCCGCCGAGAAGACTGGCGCCAGGTGCCGGGATCGTTCGATTACGTTGGTGAAATATTTCATGAAAATTGACTGGTACCATGGTATATTGCGTATGGCTCTTATGTTGCAGATGTGTCGGCGTGGAGTACGATGAAGACCTGGTGAAGCGAGCGCGGACACGCGTTGAGGTGATGACACGCTTGCGTCTCTTTGGGTTGGTGTTATTGGCACAGCCGACTGATGAATCTTTGCATTGCAATTGATGCAGGAGCATGGAGTGGAGGCGCTGGTGGAAATTCGGCATGGTGACGCGTTGGAGGTGGATCTAACGTTGGCAACGGCCTTGTTCCTGTATCTCGTGCCACAAGTGAGTGGATCATTTCATGTTGAAGTGGTGATCGAATGCTAATGTGGCGTCTGCAGGGAATTAAGATGCTCCTCCCGAAGTATGACTACGAAATTGTGTTGTGATGGTCCATCTACATCTAATGTGGAATCGCTTTTTTGCGCAGGCTAGAAGAAGCACGACGACTGCAGGTGCGCATAGTGACATACGTGTTCTCGATACCAGGCTGGAAACCGGACGACCAGCGCACCTACAAAGGCACTAAAGTATGTTTTGTTCTTGTTGCCAATAAGGGTGCCCAGATGGACCTCTTTCATGACCTCATATTTTGTCATTTGCTTGCAGGTATACCTGTATAATTCATCGGCGCCAGCCCCTGAACAGTGATCGACACTGTATCTACACAACCACTCAAGCTAAACACAATTCCTCCATCCTATCCGGATCCAGTTGTCAAGAGTTCCACGACAGTTCCCCCAGCCATAGTTTATCATCGACCGATTCCTTCATTTGTTTCTGAGTTTTTTGTTATCCCGTTGCTCGGAAGAATTATCACCATTACTCTGCATTCCCTTCGGATCCCCCAGCAACTAGGGTACAACTTTAGCTTTAAGAGCTAGCTTAGAACTGACGAGTCTTCATCTCCTCCTGAACGGCAATAGCCGACGAGTACGAGTTGGCAGCGTACGTGGCGAAGTTCCGGTCCTTGGAGTGCGTAGTCACGATGTACTGACGCGGCACCTCTGGGAAGCCCTCAGGACTCGTGTACTGGTGGTGGCGGTGGAAGCCAACCTTCTTTTGGGCCGGAAGGTCATCGTCCAGCCGCCACTTAGCGCCTTCCGCCACCTTAGACAGGTGCTCCTGCATTGCCGAAGGATACAGGGGTTAGAGCATCGTATTCAGGAACGTTAAGGCGCCACGACGCACCAGAGTGTCCTCCTCGCCCTGGCTCTTGGGCGCCATGAGCTTCGAGATGAACTCGCCGACCGGGTTGCTCGCCATTATCGTCCGCCTGCCTGCACTTCCTGTGTAAGAGCTCTGCACCTCTCGTTGCAAAGTAGACCTCAACAATATCATAGTATGCATATTCGAAGGTTAAGTAAGACCACCAGAAAAAATGAAGTCTATTTGGTGTGCGTACACAAAGGCAAGTTGAAGCTAGTCCCACGCAGATGAACCGCCAAAGCCCACGTCGGGCGTGAAGTTGATCTGCGTCAAGTCCACGGGCTTGGACTCGACGCTTTTGGCCTTCTTGGCCTTCTTGAACTGTTTCACGGCCACCACACCGCTAGCGATCTCCTTTGGCTGTCGTTGGTCTTTCTTCTTGTCCAGTTTCTCCTTTCGTTTCTTCACCTTAGCTGCCTTCTTCTCCGCCTTCGCGTCTGTCTTGGACGGGGACGCTGTCTGGTCCACTGACTCGCTAGCTTCAACCTGCTTTTTGTGATGTTTTGCCTTCTTTTTTTCAGGTTCAGGCGTAGTAGCAGCCTCCTTCTCCGGCTTGTCTGTCTCGGACTGCTCGCTCTTCTGCCTCTTGTGGATTTTCTCCTTTTTAGGAGGCTTTTCGCCATCATTATTGCCGTCCTTACTAGACGTGGCCTTCCGGGACTCCTCTTTCGACTTGGATTTCTTCTTGACCTCGTCCCGCTTCCGCTTTCCGGTGACAACCTTCTTTTCTTTTTTACTCGAAGGCGTCGACTTCTTCTCCTCCTTCGGTGGAGCTACGTAGCCATGCACGCGCTTATCCAGCACGCGAGTGGCATCGCGCACGACCAAATTCGGGAACAACCGCTTCATTTTGAAGTTGTACTGCTTGTGCTTGGCGTCGAGTTTCTTCGCCTCCTTAATCTGCCGCTTTTCCTCTTCGGAAATGTCGGCCTTCTTGCTCTTAGTCTTGGGCCTCTTTTTCTTCTTGTCGTCATCACTATCACTTTTGTCGTCGTCACTCTCCTCTTCATCGTTATCACTGTCACAACTGTCGTCCTCCTCGGTGGAAGATTTCGCCGCGACATCAAGTTTCTTTCCGCAAATGGGGTTGCCAATCAAATTTAATTGCCGCAAATTCTCAAGCGTGCTCAGCGCCTCCAGACCAGACCAATCGTCAATCTGGTTGTGACTCAACTCCAACACCTTAAGATTCTCTGCAAAACCACCATGGCCACAGCATTAGAGCATGAATAAACCATACTAATAACATCACTTTTCCTTACTCAGTTGAGCCAAATGCGCCGGGATTTTCTTAATCCGGTTGTGCGAAAGTCGCAGCTCCGTGATCTCCGACAATTGGCTCAAGTTCGGGATCTCCTCCAGCAAGTTATGCGAACTGTATATCATCATTACAGCAAGTATATAAGTCAGCTATTCGATGATCTCTTGATCTCACAACAAACTCGTACATGGAGATCTTCTTGAGACTCGGGAGTCCGTCCAGCACGCGCTGTGGGATCTCCGTGATGCGGTTGTTGCTCACAATGAGCGAGTTGAGCTCCGGCAGTTTGGGCATCCAGTCCAATGCTGATATGGAGTTGTTGTTGAGTACGAGTGCCTTAAGCGTGCGGACGTTTCGCAGCACCTCGAACGGAATGCGCGTCACGTTGTTCTCAGCGGCGTTGAGGATCACGAGCTTCTTGAGGTGCTGGATCTCGGCCAGACCGTCGCCGTTTAGTTTATTATCCGTAAGCTTGAGCATCGTCACACGCGGTACTGACTTAAGCTGGGAGAGTTTGGTGAGCTTGTTGTAGCTCAGGTCCAACTTGGTGGCCGTCTGCAGCCCCTCGAGGCTCACGATGCTCTCAATACCGCGCCCCGTGAGGTCCACTTGCTGACCATTACGCTTCACGATTTCGTCGCGGAACTGCTGCAGCTTCTCAGCCGTCAACTTCTTGATGCGGCGCTTGCCAGGCTGCTCCGACGCGTCCGCCATGGTCCACCACAATTGCTCAGCTTTGACTGGTGCTTATTGGACAAGGGTCATTGAAACGGGGAAATATAGTGACATATCACTTCAACGACTGCAACTTTCGTGGAATCATGGACCCATGATGGAGCTAGGACGTTCCAATGCGCGCGCCACAACAATCGTGGCACGTGACATGAGTATTGGTCGAGTCGACCCGACGACTTCAAGGATGACAGCTATGCGCTGCCGCAGCTAAGCAGATCGCCGTGCAATTGACTACAAGGAGGTTGTTGATGCGCGACTGTAGACGTAAGAGACCGATTAGGTGGATTTAGTATTAATATTGTGCGCGTGTGATCGGTTTGGTGCCCATTTCGGCTCTTGCAGTGCTGACGTCGTATCATACAGCGGCAAGGGCATGAACATGCTTACCAACACCAACCCGCATGAAAGTGTAGCGATGTGTTAGGAGGATCCTCAAAGGCGTCTTCTTCATCTCCTAGGATAGACGAGCGCAGCTGCAACGCTCTACGGCGCTCTCGATGATGCAGGCCAAAGAGTGTAGACTCCAAGCGGTCTTAGCCACTTCAACATCATTCATTACCAGCGCCCGAGTGCCCTTTGCTTCGGCCTGAACTATCCACACAGGTCACGCAACGAGTTGTTTGCGGGGCGGTACAGTACTCGGCCGAGCATCGTAAATGCATGTTGCGAAGCGCAGCCTACGAGCCATAGATGTGATCGCCGAGCCCTAGGATAGCAGGACCTGTTTGCAATGGAGCGGATAACAGAGTAGTGACACTGGACCATCCGGCTCATGTACATGTAACGAGTCGCTTGATGCTTGCACAGCTCGATCATCTCTTGCCGAAGTCACACCTCGCCGATCCCACTGCCGTCGACAACGCCGAACCCGCTTGAATTAAATTGACGAACCTGTCGTTCCAACGCGCGTCTTGCTTGTCAGCACCAATGTGTGGCAAAATGTGGCTCCGGGAGCTCCTGCAGCGTAGCAAACGGCGACTACCGTGACGGCTACTTGACCGTTTTGTGGCACTTCCCGAGCACACCGTATTTCTACATAGAGAGCCTTGAGAGGCACTGTGCCTCTCCACTCCGACGACAATTGCGCTGGCCTACCAAAGCGATCTCGAACGCATCAGCGCCTGTAAGCGGCTCAATATGATACCAACGGTATCACATCTCATTGCCGCCGCACCGCATGCATTTTTCTCGCCAAGCTGTCTAGCGTCGGAACACCAGATCATTGCCGGGTGGATGATGTCAACGAGCAGCAACATGCCCAAGTGACACCAAAGCTCTTGTCTCTCGCGCGCGTGCCCATCAGATTTGGCATGCAAACGGTTTGGGCAGGTTATTCGTCCAGACGGCGGCGACTTGAGCTCAGGTCATACTGCGGCCAAAGTGTCCGCTCCGCGGCTGAAATGGCGACCGGATGGGCTGTAGGGGAGAGAGAGGCGAGGGAACGACGACAGGCGAGAGACGTGGTCTTCAGCAAGCATGTCCGGAGCGCCAGCAACGTCGGCACGACTCACTTGAGCACTTGACGACCAGCACGCAGCAGCATCTTGGCTACGACAGACGCGACCGGCCGTTATTTCATCGCTCCGCGTACCTCCGGCCTCATAGCAGCAGCAGCATACCCGACGGATTTTCGCCGGGTCTCACTTGCCAACTCTCGGTCGCTAAAGCATTGACCAGAGTACAGTCATCATCAACCGCCTCACCAAAAATGATGGTCGAGCCGCGCTACACGTCCGTCATGCGCAGCACGCGCAGCGGCAACTATTATAATGTTCCGATCTCCACCGATGCGATGGCCAACCGCAAGCACGACATGTCTGCGTTTACCAACTATGATGGTTTCGAGCACGAGGCAGTGGCCACCGCTTGGGGCACGACCACCATGCGCCGCCTGCCCGCTGTGGCCAAGCGCCGTGACCTCAACGCCGCACTGGACGGCGTCGCGCCCTCCAAGGACCCGCACACCTTCCAGCCGGCTTTTGCCTTCGATCTCAATAGACTTGTGGCTTCACTCACCAAGGGCTCGGCCAGCTCCAGCAACAGTTCGTCTTTCACTTCAACACGCAGCCACGGCGAGCCCACGCCAGAGCCCATGCCTGAGAACTCGCGGATACCTGTGCTACCCGAAGCCGCAGCGCCTCGACAGCGTGGACGACGTGGAGCTCTTTCGGGCGAGGAAGAACTCACGCGTTCATATGCCTCGCCCAACTCTACGACCCCAGAGAACAGCATCATCACGTACAGTCTCAATAAGCGCAAACAGAAGCGGCTGGCCGCCAAGGCACTAGCCGCAGCGTCGGTTAATGGCCCCAATTTCGAGGTAGCCGTGGCCGACGCCGGTAACGAGCATCAGCCGCAGTACGTACCACGTTACGTGCCCGAGTACCAGTCCGACGTGGCGATAGCAATGTCGTCACGCAACCGCGAGCCCTCGCTGGATGAGCAGAGCTACGCGCTATAAGGCGGGCGGAGCTAGTAGCAGTCTCCGTCCACCAGCTAGTCAGTCCCTACCTAATTATTAATCCGTGCATGAGTTAGTTAAGCGTAATGAACGCAGCCAGCGGTAGCTGTGGGTATTCTTCATCCTTGCATGCATTGCCTATGATAGTTTTCTTGCTACTTCTTTCGGCACCGCCGTCTCCGCGATAACGAAGCGCGTTGGATCGATCGCTGCTTCGACGGCTTCGACCAGATGGGGCGGCAGCTCACGACGTGCTAAACTGTCGGCTCTGTCGTGGCGCTCGAAGTAATGATGCTACTGCACACCGAACTGCCTCATCTTGTGTCTGATCTGCGTCTGTCAGCTCCATTGCGCGGGCGAACCCATTCTAGTAGTGGAGAAGAAACCGTCGTGCCTCTGCCCAAACTTTGACTGAAGCGGCTACAGCGGTAGAGAGAATAAGAGGCCGGACCTTTATCGTAGCATCACGACGCTAAGCTTATCTGCAGAACATGGGCCAAGGGCAGAGCTCCATCCCGACAACAGAGGTGGCGGCGCTCGTGGAGCTCTACGACGCGCTGAATGGCGACCGCTGGCGCCGCCGCGACGGCTGGAAGCAGCCCACGCGCGACCCCGAGCAATGGTTCGGCGTCGAAGTGGTCATGGGCCACGTCGTGGCGCTAGAACTGCCAGCTAACCAACTGAGCGGGTGTCTACCAGCGGCCAGCCTTACGCGGCTGCCACAACTCCGCGTGCTCGATCTGTCTAAGAACCAGCTGCGCGGCGAGATCCCGGCTGAGCTAGGAACCCTCTCGAGCCTCAAGCGCGTGGATCTGAGCTGTAATGACCTCACGGGCGCAATTCCGCGTCAGATCGGCGAGTGCGGCCAGCTACAGGAGCTCAATCTGTACCAGAACTCACTGTCCGGTTCCATGCCCAAGGAATTGGGCAAGCTTCAGAGTCTGAAGACACTGCAACTACAGCACAACAACCTGTGCGGGGCTTTACCCGAGGCTCTGTGTGAACTCTCGCAGCTCACCAAGTTCAGCGTGCGGGGCAACTGCCTCACGGGACGCATTCCGGCGGACATCGGCCGCTTGCAATCACTCGTGTTCCTCTCACTACGCAATAACGAGCTGACGGATGTCATCCCGCCGTCGATTGGCTGCTGCAAGGCGCTTGAGTTCCTCAATCTGTCCAGTAACCAGCTCAGCGGTCCCATTCCCGAGACGCTGGGCGACCTGGAAGACCTCGAGTATCTCTACTTGTTCGATAACGCACTTGAAGGCCGCGTGCCGGGCAGCATCGCGCGACTTAAGTTCCTTAAAGAGTCCGACTTCCGCGACAACCGTCTGCGTGGTGAGCTACCCAACTTCCTGGACGGGTGCTCTAGTCTTGAAGCCGTCATGACCAAGTGGAAAAACCGTAAAGCCAGCTACCGCCACGCCGTCCTAGGAGACCCTATGCCCACTCCCGATACGCCGCCTACATCGTCGCACCAGTTCTTACAAACACTTGAAGATCCACCCTCCAATTCGTCCGCCACCTTCTTGAGCCGAAGCTTCGACCACAAAGGCAGCAGCGGTGAGCCGCCCGACGGAACCCCAGAGGACGACCCTGCTAACAACTCCCATCTCGTCGCCGAATTCTCGCGGAAGCGCGTCTTTCACCTCTCTGCAGTGCAGACTAAATGATGGTAAATTCCCCCGAGGTTTCTTATAAGGGTTGAATGAATTGCGTATATGCATGACAATGTGGTCGAAATTGTACGCTCTCGTTGATTTTTTATTCACAAAGAATATTTACCTTTCAAAAGTGCCCCTGCCGACGAAGACGTTCGCATTCCAGAGGCTGTCGACGCCGTAGCTCGAGCCAATTCAATGTCGGGACCAGTGACACTCGCGAAATCGAAGTAGCGTTATAGTAAAGAGGCAGTGCTACCGTTCGCGTTGACAGCAGGCAGCATTCGATCCAGCTTCACAGGTTCTTGGAAACCAGGGAGGGTGATCTCTTAGTCCGCAGTTGACTGCGATAGCAGCGGCCGAATGGTCTCAACCGCTTCCCTTGGCTTTGAGATCGTCGCATGCTTAATGGTGACTGCCAGACTTCTCGGATACCCAAAGGAACAGCAACGAGTTTGTCAGATTTGTCAGCAGAGCCATCCCCAGGTTAATGGTGAGGATATTGAACACGATGAGTTGTGACATCGTCTGACACACCAAGACTTCTCCAATCTACCTCTTGACATCGATCAGCATCCTCGCCTTAGGTAACACGTCCAACTCGAATGGGTGCGTGTTCGCCTAAGAATTTAGTGTGATAATGTCTGTGCGTCCAACAAGGTTCGTGTTGAAACGAAGCAGTCCGATGTCGAGGCTATCGCTCTCTTTCTGTCCACAGGCACTACGCATAGATCTTCATTTGTGAGACCGCTGCCGATAGTCTCTTTAATGTACGCGATAAGCGCTCTCGTTGCTCCACTTCAGACTTTCACCGTCCCTTTGAAACTGTTCGGCAGGTTTCGGTTCTGGAAATCAGGGGCCAACTCAACGTGAACATATCTCCCAATAGCTCGTTTGTCTTCTCTCAACCACAGCGCCATGAGAAACATCCCTGCTTTCAGGAAGTACGCTAATTGGGGCTGTCTTGCAGCGTTTAATCTCTTCTGTTTAATGCGTTGCATTGGTGAATTTGACTATTTTGTCGGAAGTATCTAGTAACTTAGCGAAGATGCCTTGAGATGGAAGTAGCTTAAATCCAGTGCAGCTGAGTCTTTCAGAGGGCCGTGGTAAGTGCCACCGCCCAGTACGAACAATTTTCCAGCGTCGGTGAGGACGCTGGAATGCCATGCGCGAGGAGTTAGAGTGTGGTCACTCGGGATTGGCACCTTAAACCACTCAGTAGTTGCAATGTCCAGTATATACACACTGTCGTCCTCGGATTCAGCAATTCGTCCGCCAAAAACGAAAAGAAATTCGCCGATTGTGTGAGCTGTGTGGTATGACCGTGGAGGTGGGATATCTCCGGAGCACTGCAACACTGTCCAAAGCCGCTTCTCCAGGTCAAACAACCATACATCATTCATTCTATCATCGTTGAGTTGGCCATTACCACCGAAGACAATAAGTCGAGGAGCGTGGTTCCCCGAGCTCGGTGTCAAACACATCGAATGACCATCCCGAGCAGAAGGCCAGACAGCTCCTTCTTCACGAGGGCCAAACTCCTCCCAAGCAACCGTTGCATCCACCGAGCCGTGTGCATCACGGTCAGTTCTAACTCTTGACAATCGCAAGGTCAGCAATTGATCGCTCACTCCTTGTTTCGTTCGACCGCCAAACATGTACACGCTTCGGTCACCGTTACCATCGACAATTGACATCGCTGCGTGGCCTGATCGAGGAGCAGGAATCTCCTTCGAGTCCTGTGGACAATGTGGTTGTATCCATTGAAATCCTCGAGGCGAAGCTGGTATGAGTAAATGCACGCTGGAGTCTTCACCTCGTGACGATACTCCACCGTACACGCAATAGAATTCGCTGCCTTTGCTGCCGATAGATGAAGTCGAATGCCACGCGCGGGATGACGGAACATCGATGCCTTGAGTCGGTATTATGTCCCAGCTTGAGTTGTCATTCTCCTCTAGCACGAATACATCCGGCCTTTGCTCACGCACAGCTCGTCCACCAAACAGATAGATGCGTCCGTTGTCTCCTCTGAATAGCGTGTGTCCATTTACAGCAGCAGGGCCTGGATTACCTCGTACAGCGCTCTTCGACCAACCTCCGCGGACAGAATAAATCACTGCAGCTCGAACGCCCGCCCTTCGTAGTTCCACGTTAGCTCCGTTTCCACGCTGCTCCACGGCAGTAGCGGCATCCACAACGGTTTGGAGCTTCGCATAGCATTCTTTGTTATGTGGTTCGAAATTCAGTGCTGCCATTAGGTCGGCAACTGCTTGTTCATATTGCTCTAGGGCAATGTGCGCCGTCGCTCTACGCATAAACGGCTACAGCTCATCGTCACCAAAATGTCCATCACTGAATTACACTTTTGCTTGTACCTTAATCGTCGGAGCCACCTCAATCGCCCTGGTGCAGTCTGCAACTGCAAGATCAAACTCCTTGAGCTGTAGTAGATAGCAGCAAACAATGAGAATGGAGTTCTCAACAACGAAAGATTTATCACCAACACACTTTCAGATATGCTGCAGCTCGGTTTGAGAGACACACGGCGTTGTTTGTATCCATTTCGATACATCTGAAGACGTTGTCACATAAAGAAATAGTTAGTATTACTGCTGATCAATGTATGGAATGCGGAGCGAGGTCTAGAGACCGAGAGTAGGAGGAGATGGCGTCGTGCAGGCGCCCCTGGCGGAAGAACGTATTGCCCTCGTTCTTGGTTTTAATCACGAACTGCTCATCCACTGCGGACTTCTCATGTGCAAGCAGTTGGCCGTGGCCACTGGCGTTTAGCAGCTCCCGGAGCTGCGCAGGCGTGAGCTGCTGGAGCTCTCGGCGAAGCTTGTCCTCCTCCATGATGACGAATTACCTGCTCAAACGAATATAGATACGCAAACGGATTACGGGATGTTAAAGGATCCTAGAAAGTTTGCAATATTTCATGCTCACAGCATTATTTGTTTTCAAATTAAATGATATATTAACGGTAAAAACTGAAGCTTTACAGAAGTTAGATCGATGTGTATTGAAGGTTATTGGTTTTCATTATATGGATACATGCGATGATACTTACTGTACTGCGTCCCTTGGTGACGGTCCAGCATTGAAGCCGCCACAATCAGAACCAGACAGCCAATCGACTACTAAGAGAGAAGGCATCATGAACGTCGTGTGGGGGCGTTTTCAGACTGTTTACCCGCGCAAGGGCTGTACCGTGATGGATGACGACGTGGGGAAGTTGCGGCAGCCCCTCATGACTAGCGGCAGCGAGGACGAGAGCGACGGCAGCCTGGAAGACGAAGAATTAGGAGGTTTGTTACCGCATCGGGACATGCGGCCGCAGTTTGACGAGGGAGCGGCAGCCCGTAGGAAACGCCGGAGGCGTAAGGAAGATGAGGATCTGGGGGAGGTACCCAGGGGCTTTACGGTCAGTGTGGAGCCGCTCAAGCTGCTACGGTCCGTTGGCAGCTGGATGATTTCTCTCTCTGCTGCGGGTAACCTCCTGGTTCCGCGCAGCACCAGCCCCCTGCCTGCCTCACTGTCGACACAGATGCTGACGCACAGACGCAAGCAGGAAAGTATGGACGAGGTGTCGGACCGCGCGCTGGCAGTACTGGCCCTCATCACGGTGGTCTTCTGTTTCCTGTTGCTGCTCGTGGTGTACTCTCAAGCGGCGTAGGAAAGAAAAAAATCACCATGCATCACCAAGTTAGCTACCCCAATTGTGTCATGTGCTCCGTGGTCTGTTGGACAGCGCAGCTTCACTACAATTAATACAATGCTCATATTCTTATGCTGATTTCCAAGTGTCCGACTATTTGTTCTCAATTCGGCGCTTCCTGGTCTTCTGTGTGCTCTTGTTCTTGCTGTTGTTTGATGAATCTACCTTGAATGCGCTGGGGCATTTTGCAGCTAACGGGCACTTGGAGCAGGACGGATGTTTCGCTGTGCACACAGTCTGGCCGAAGCCCACGACGGCGAGAGAGAGATTACCCCAGTGTTCTCGAGGGATCCACTCTTCCAATTCCTTTCTCGTATTTTCCGGGGTTGTCGTAGATGCCCAGCCCAGGCGTTGAGCTAAGCGGTGTACGTGCGTGTCCACCACAATGCCGGCCACGTGGCCCCACGCTAACAACGTGATGACTCGACCAATCTTTGGTCCAATACCTGGTAACTGCAGTATTTCGTCCAGCGAACGAGGAATATCCCCGTGGAACTGAGTGCGTAGGATAGCAGCTACACGCTTGAGCTGATGCGCCTTGCGGTGGTAGAACCCAACGGGTTTTAACGCTTTGCCCAGTTCCTCCTCGCTCGTGGACTGCACGACTTCAATGGTGAGACCTTCGTCGGTTTCTCCGAGTTGATGCAGACGCTGCATCGCGGCGTAAGTGATCGGATCTTGTGTCTGAGAGCTCAGCAGTGCCGCCACCAGCAGCTGGAAACGCTCAACCTTGGCGTTGCTCACGCCAGGAGCTACACAGGCATGCGTCCCGAACTTGTCGATGGGCGTCTCCTTGCTTTTCCGAGCTTCATAGAGCCCCAGCAGCAACTCCAGTCGCCTGTCGGACTGTGCGGCGTCAGTATATGACTTGGTCTCTGACGCAGGTTCGATCTTAACAAGCTTCGTCGGACGGATTAGAGAAGCCTCCTTCTTTTCTTCGCTTCTGCCACGCTTGGCGCTGGAGCTCCCAGGTTGCTGCGTGGTCACCTCCAGCTTAACGTCCGCACTACCGCTGCTCTGTGTGCGCGCCGAAGCGTACGCGAAGCGCGTGAACGGATTACCGCCAGTCGTCCCAGACGTCCCCATTAAAAGTTGAAATGGCAACCAAAAAGAATAGTACAAGTACTTGTACTGAACGACGAAGAGAACAAGTGTGCACGCAATTCAGGCGGTCCCATGTTATGTGTGTGGGTTAGATTGGTCTCTGCGATTCTGCGCGCTTAGCCGCCCCCTTCGTTCTCCATCGTCTTTCAAAACTCGTGGGGGGAGGATGGGGTATCCGCTCAAGTTCTATACCAACGATCATCAATGGCAGCCATCGTTGCCTACGCTACTTGTATCTACGCCCATTTGTCACTCACATTTTCATGCTCGGTTCGAGACGCGGTTCACATACGCGTGGTAGATCTGGTCAAAGAACTGAGCGTCGTCCAGCAGACCGATCAGCGTCTGCTTAAGTTGCTCCTTGTTCACAGGCGAAGCCGGCTGCTTGTGCACCTGCGGTCGATTCTGCGAGATCATACCCATAATGGCCTCACCCGCAGCAATACCGTCTGCCTTGGAGATAGGAACCATACCACTCGCCTGGACATTCTCCTGCTTAGTCGAACCGTTGGCACTACCGCCACTGCTGCTGCTGTTGCTACGCTTACCCTTGGGAGATCGCTGCAAGATCGCTGTGGGCTGGTTTGTGTTCGTTCCACGGCGCTTTGAGTCCTCACGCTTGTTGCGAGAACGTCCCCGGTTACGCGACTGTGACGGCGGGCGTTCCTGCTGTTGTTGAGTAGGTTGCGACGTCTGCTGCTTCAAGTTCTGAGTCTGATCGGGCGACTGAGCCTTCGTAGGCGTAGCATCCGCAATAGTAGCGTTCTGCGGAGCCTTCAGCGACTGAATAAGACTGCAACATCAAGAATTCACTGTCAGCAGTCGGGTTTAACGAGTTTCTGGGTCAAAAAGTATCATACCGTTGGAGCAACTGTAGGATCTTGGCACGATCTTCTTCCGGGAAGAACCAGACACCGTAGATTGCGTAGCCCGACGAATACGTCTAGTGCCATGCGAACAAGCTGCCATCAGTCGCTAATTCCAAGAAACACGGATCAATTGCTACATCTTACCGTGTCGGGGCTGCGCAGGATGAGGAAGCTGTCCACGTTGTCCACCTGAAGACGATCGTCCAACGGCAGCGTCATGTTGGTCGTGCTTAGGCGGTTGTTGACGAAGATCTGGAAGCGTGGCGCCGACGATCTAAAACATGCGCAACATAACGTTAGCTTTACACTCTTTCACGTTCTAGCGCATTCTTTACACATGCCTCTTAACAACAAACAGACAGCCCTCGACATCCTTGCGCTTCTGCAGTATTAATATTAGTGGTACATACAGAGACATCACTAACGTTAGTATTGCGCTTCCCTCCCTCTCCGATCCACAATGACGCACCCAACTCTGCGCGTCCTGGTCGAACTCGTACATAACCACGTGGCTGGCCGTGTCCACAATCTCCATGACATCAGCGTCCTGGCGCTTCAGCACCTGCAGGTTCATGGCATTTGACTGCGTACGGTCCACGTGAAGTCCGTCGGCCGCCATTCTTAATCTCGTTATCAATCGCACAGTATTCCCCAGTGACTGGCGTTGAAAGCGTTGCTGATATATGCTTCCGTTGCTCTACGGTGTACAAATCACCATCTAGCAACATAAACAGAGCAACGTTAAACAGTCAAATCATTTCAGTAGTATGGGCGCCTTGGCGCAAGTCTGGCATGGCAGCGTGGCGCTGCTCGCGTGGACCTTCAAGCTTATCCGGACGCCGCATACCAGCAGCCTGCCTAGCGCCGTGTCTAGCTCATCCGCGCGCAGCAACGTCTGGAGTTTCCTCACGGCTGGCCCGCGACGTGCACGACGTCAATCGCACGCTGCGCTTGAGTTGCTCGAAAAATTCCGTCATGGCCCGGAGACACACAGCGAGTGGAACCTGTTCTTGTGGCGCGCAACATTTCCGCTTGTATCACTAGTACTGCTTACGCTGCTCTGCGTCGCGGGTCAGTTCGGCCACACCGCGTACTCACTCCTCGTGAACCCAGTCTGGTACTTCTGCAACTTAGCCCTCGTGACCACGCCGTTTCTATTGGTATTCCGGTTCTCGGGCCTCGAAGCAGTAGATGGAGAGCCACAGACCAAAATATGGTACGGCCTGGCCGCTATCAGCTTCGCCATCAGCCTCGTAGAGTGGTATATGAGTCTTCCTGCTAGCAGATACTCGTGGATCGTGGGCAATACTTTGTTCGGCATGGTGGCGCTGGGTGCAGTCCCGTTATTCTTCAGTATGCAGCCCAGAACAGCCCGATCTCAGTATGATGACCTAGTATTGGAGCAGGAGCAGGACAGGATGCGAGGTGTCCCCGAAGAGGACGAGGATGTGGACATTGATGGAGACATTAGAAGGTTGGCGAGACAGAGATCATCAGACAGACTGAGAGAACTGGAGATGCAACGACAGGGACAACCGAAGATGACTAGGCTATTGTATGGCTGCGGTTTTTGCGCGCTGGTGCTGTGGCTCATCATGTTCTCGTCATACAGTTCAGCACGAGGAAGCGAACCTGCGACACAGTCGTGGTTCTTACTGTACTCACTGTCACCAGTGCTGTGCATTGCGTTGTTTTGCGCCCGGGTTGCAAGAGTGCGCTTCAGCTTTGAGCACGCAGTGGCGTACAGTACACTGGTGGTGCACGTCCCGTTGTTTCTGGGGCACTTGTGTGTGAGGCTGTTCGCTCTCGCGGAGGATCCAGCTGCATCGTCGCCGACAAGCAGCGAGTCGTGGCTCAAGCTGGCGATTTCCGTGCTGTATTTGCTGCTGATGCAAGGCTATTTCTTCGTCATCACGCACACGGTGAACAGCATGTCGGAGCCGTTTGCGCATCCGTCGCTGCTGTATATTGGTCAGCTGTACTACTACACGTTCTGGTACTGCCTTGTGGGCTCCGACACGCCCATTGACGCGCTGTACTGGGGTATGTTGCTGCTCAACAACATCCACATCGCCTTTCTTAACACGGGTGTGTACACGGACTTCAAGCGCACATCTTCAGCCTGGCTAGCGATACCGTTGCACTCCAATATCACCTCGTCGGTGGCCTTTTGTCTGCGTACTACGACCTCGGTTATGGATGTTTCCAGGTGTCTGCCACACAGACGATCATGGGGAAGAAGAGGGCTGTTGGGGCTTAACTGTGGTGTAGTTGGCGCTGCAGCGATGGATACAGAATCCGATCTACTGGAAGGTGGTGACGATGATTACGAGTACGACAATGGTTACGGATCGGATGGCTTCGTCGTGACCAGGAATATTGACGACAAGGAGCCTGTCATTGGTGAGTTGCCATCCTGGCAAGAAACTGGAAGCCGGAATCGTGAACGAGACCGGGGTGTCAGTGAAAATCGGAGAGATACTCAATCATTGCCCGACTTTTCTTCTCCAGCTCGCAAGTCTGGCACAAAGAAGACTTCGTCTCTTCGTGACAAGTGCTCTCGCGCGCAGATGAACTGTAGAAAATGTGGTGACGGCACAAAATCCTCTCGATCCGGTAACGAGAATGTGGCTTTTGCGACGTCAGCTACAAATTCTGAGTCAAGAACAGCTACTAGTGACGCTCTGAGACCGCTTTACTTCCTCATGAAGGTTGCAGAGCAAGACAACATGGCCGACACGACTGCACTTATACTGGTGCCTTCACTTCTGACTCTACTAGCAGTGTTTGAGAAGCCAGGGAGTGCTCTTGCCGTACTACAAGACCAGACGAATCTGTGGCTACGGTGTGTCTGCATGTTCATTGGACGCCTTGGTGGCTCCTTCCTTGCTCGAGAAATCTTCACGTGCAAGCTGCGGTCACGGTTACGCTCGTCGCCCGAGGACCTTGGTGACCAACCTGACCCCATTAGCGGTTCAATTGACGGCATGTCGGCACGGCTTTGGATACAACAGCTGATGCTACAAGATTTCCACGCGCAGTTCTGGTATCTCACAGCTGTGACCGTTGTGGTAATTTTCGGTTGCTTCGCTCGGATCGACCTACCACTACGCTTTGCACTGCTTTGAATATGCAGTTTTAACTTCAAATATCTACACGAAATGCGAGTAAGTGGCCATAGATTTTTGTGCTGAACTAACATGCAAGTTGTTGCAGCCTATTGTGGAGGTGGAGTGTTGGGCGGTGTGCGAGGAAGTGAAAACTCAGGATCCGGTGCTGCCAAGGCGATGTTGGCGCGCTCTATAGCCTCGGCAAGCAGTTTCTCCTTCCGAACCCAGCGACGGCGACGTACGCTGCGTCCAACGAGTCGGTTGAGCTTCTTCTTGATGCGTCGTCGCTCCTGTAGATCTGGATCAAGTCCACTCGCATGGGCCTGGAGCTCTGGTGGTACGCCCTCAACTGTTTCCTGTTGTAGCTTCTCCTGAGCGCGCAAGAAGTCTTTGAACCTGGTGGCGTATTGCCACTGATCAGTGCCGCCGAAGCCTGGATCGACTACCCAGTGTTCGAGATCGAACGTTCCAGCACCGTCCGTCATGAGAGCATTGGTGAACTTGGGCGGATCAGTAATGAGAAGGTGGCCTGGTCGCAGTGATCCCCAGCCAGTGAACACTTGGTAGCGCTGGATCTCGTACACAGCCTGCTCCTCGATGGGTAGCGCCAAGATCTTCTCTTCGAATGACTTTGGCTCATCAGTAGCTTCACGACGCGTCGGACTGTCGGGATTATGGCGGGTAATGGGGCTCCCACCGGGCGACAGTACTCTACCGATAGCATTTGCGACCTGACTAACGGGTAGAACCATCTCGCGTAAGGGATTCAGGAATCGATCTTCCAGAACTTGAGTCGAGAAGGCAAAGCCCGTGTACACCTTCTGATCCGCTTGAGATGGCCGTTGGTTGGGCAAAGCCTGTTGTTCAGGCAGGTCGAAACGTGGCTTCTCCTCGGTCAGATCAGCCTGGAAGCGCTCGTACCGCAGCTCAGGTGGCGTCCATCGAGCCTTCTCCGGATTCTGGCTTCCGCGTTTGTGGAATTCCTGGAGAATGTGGTAGTATTCGGGGTTCATCTCGCGCTTGTAAGCCTTCCAGAGGAAATCGCGACCGAGACACAGTAGCAGAGACAAGAAGATTGCCAGGTAGAACTCGGGCAGAGCGAAAATATGCGGGAACGCAGTGTCGGCGACGGATGTGGGGAAGGACGCGGCGATGACGTAGCCCGAAATGTACCAGAAGATGATCGACGCAATGAACGCGAACGCCGTGATCGCGTTCCATGTGACCATATTTAACGCCAGTTTGACCCAGCCGACGCTGATCAGACAGCAGTAAGAAATGGCGCCACACAAGTCACGAGAGAAGCCATTGCCGGTCGAATCCACGGGACCACCGATGATAAGTGCGGGCACCAGACCGCAGACTACACACTCATAGAGCGCTTCAGCTACCCACTGTGCGAAGATACGAAGACTGAAGAGTTCACCCTGCGCTCCGACGTGGTAAAGACCTGGAAATTGCTCTGCTATACGTGCTGGGACTTCTTGCTCGGTGATCGCCACGATACCGATCGGCATCGAGGACCAGAAGACGTTGTAGCCGTTGATCCACATGTTGTTGTAGTACAGCGTACCAGAAGACCCACACTGAGGCAATGCAGCTAGCACGAACTCGGTTCCGAACAGCAAGATGTTCTTGTAGACTACATAGAGTGCAAGCTTGGCCATGCGACGATAGTTCCAGTGTCCGTGGACTAGAAGAAGACGCTTAAGGAACCGGAACTGCGCGATAGCGAAGTCACTCGCGTTCACCGCCTGCATGCCCTCGTGACCGGAGATTCCAACCCCGATATGCGCTTCTTGGATCATAGCGACGTCGTTGGCGCCGTCGCCGATAGCGAGTGAGCGACAGCCATGCAAGTTCGTCTTGAAGAGCCGAACCACTTGAGCTTTTTGCTTGGGCGAAACACGACAACAAATGACGGACACGCACTGCTGGGACACCTCAAGAAACAGCTCGGACAGCACGTCGTTGCTGAACACCATGGTCAGACAGCGACCGTCGATCACGATGGCTTGTTGCTGTGTGTCGTCTTTGACTCCGCTTGCCTGCAGCTCTGCACGCTTGCGAGCCTCAACACAGCGAGCCAGCAGCATGTCGTACAGGTCTGAAGCAGAGGGCGTCGTCTCCGCGTTGATCATGATCCGTTCCATGTCGTTGTTCAGCAGCTGACAGGCAAAGCCGATGTTCACCGCCGTCTCCTCCTTATCGCCCGTGAGTACCCAGATCTTGATACCAGCTCGAGATAAATCTCCCAGTGTCGACGTCACCTGGTCCTGCAGTCGATCCTCGATGGCTGTAGCGCCCATGAGCTGCAAACCTTGTTCAAGTTGCTCCTCAAGCTCTTCGATGCGGTTCGGTTCACCACGTTTCTGCATCGCCATTTGCTCCAGATCACCCAAGGCTGCATCGTACTCGCAGGACCACTCGGCATACGCGTCTGGGTGGAGCTCCTTCTGTGCGATTACAAGAGTTCGCAGGCCTTCGGTGGCATACCGTTCCAAGTGCGCGAGTGTAATGTCCACCATCGTCGAGTCTGACGACGGTGCCAGCCGAGGGAAGATAACCGAGTCAGCACCTTTAGTCAGCAGCATAATTCGCTTGTCAGGAGTGCGCACAACGACCGACATACGTTTGCGAGTGCTGGTGAAGTCGACCATCTCCAAGACTTCATAGACGACCTCCTCACGTTTGCCAGGGACGGAAATCGCCACTTCTCCGTTTCGACGGGCCAGGAACGAGTAGCCAAAGTAGTTGGCACCCGATACAAGCGCAAGTTCGTCCGGAGACGAAGCGGAGAAGCCTGTACCTGTATCATTCTCGGACAATGTTTCTCGTACAACGGAGTGGCAGACAGCCAAATGCACGAAAAAGTCGTGGATGCGAGCAGCTTGTTCCGGATGCAAACGCGCGTCACTATCACGCTCCAAATCTCCAGCTGGGTCCAGGAAATTGACGTTATCTGTCTTGACTAGTATCGGCGTGTTGTCTGCGAGTACATCGCTAGCAGAGAGATCCTTGCCAAGTCGTCGAGTGGCCTCGCGACCAATTTCAGTGGTGCCACGACCATAAGACACGCCGTGGATGCTCATCTTCCGGAAATCCATCTCGTTGGCTGTTAGCGTTCCCGTCTTGTCGCTGAAGATGTGAGTGACCTGCCCCAATTCGTCATTGAGATCGGAGTTACGTACAAGTGCTGGGGTGTCGGTCACTTCATCGTACATGCCAAGGTCGCGATTGAGGAAGAAAGTTTGATATGTTTTGACGATGGCGATGGTCACGTACAACGTAATGGGGACGAAGGACGCGATGAGGATCCAGAAGTAGCCCAGATAGATCAAGATACCTACGACATCATTACGGAAAGGGGCGACGCCGCTGAGGTTCTCGAGATGCAAGTACGTGGCACCTTCTCGGTTTTCTGCGACCCAAAACGCACACAACACTGCACCCAAGATGCACAAGGAAGCGAGAATTGCCATAAGCAACGCGTTGCCGCGGTTCACGATGGCGAGGATCTTGCTGATCTTTGTTGGAGGAGTATGTGACCCAGCCTGCATGATCTTAGTGTCGGCTCCCGTATTCAACACGAGGCCGTAGATGAACGGCGTGTTGCGGATGACACACCCACGCAACGCCACATTCTTCAAGTCGATCGGAATCGCGTGGCCGCTTTGCGGTTCAAAACGTCCCGAGAAGTTGTTGACGTCGTGGTTTGGTTGCTCGCAGATGACACGACCAGGAAGCTGAGCGAGTGCACGGGGGTCGCTGAGCTGCGAAAACGTACAGCTTAGCGCTTGACGCACCTTGAGATTCGTCTCGCCGTCAAGCGACTTCGTCTCCACAAAGCAAATTCCGGTCGGCGCATTCGGGTCCGGCTCGGATACGGCTAATAACAGCAAATCTGCTGGAATGGCTTCGTAGTTTTCCACTTTGATAATGTCCCCCACTGCAACATTTCGCCACGTATCGTCGCGGAAACAGCCCGGTTCATCGAGATCGAAAATGTGCGAGACGCGAGCGTTCATCTTGGCATCTGCAATGTGCCGTCCGCGATCTTCAATAGCGGCGAAAACAGCGTCAATCGACAGCACAAGCATGAGCACAATCCACTGGTACGGAATCGTCTGCGTGGACGAAATCTCGGGAATAATCTGGCCGGCACCAACTAGCAAAAAGTAAAAGTTTGCCACTTGCGAGAGTCGACCGTAGAAAAACCGAGGAATGAAGTTGAACTTCGTGTACTTGGCCGTAACCACCTTGTTGTTACAGAACTTCTGTGCTGCGTTCTGGGCGGGGTTGTTCACGTAGATGCAGCGAGCGCTGGTTTCCGGCAGCCCAAGAGCTCCACTGTTGTCTCCTACAGCGCCGTCACTAACGGCCGATAAGATGGACATGGTCGACGAACCCAGACCTGCCGCTGCCTCTGCGAGCATCTTGGGAGCCCATCCGGTCGACGCAGCGACAGGAGACTCGCCTACATGAACTGTCCTGTACGTCGACTCTGCATCCACCGACACGTCGGTCACACGTGCTGCTCCCGTGCCGATCACGGACTCCAGCACTGTCATATTTAATCCCAGAAGCTTCGAGTGCTCCTGGAATCGCTTTGGTGGGCGGTTGGGCTCTTGGAGAATGGACCGGTCACGAGAAACCATACCATTCTCGAAATACACACAAGAAATAACGACCGGGTTGTTGCAACTTGTGCCTAAATAACGTGCAAAGGTGAACATTGCTGCCTGCTAACGGAAGAGCCCATGACATTGAAAGGTGCTTTTAAACTGATGATACAACCATTACCAGTAGTCTAGAGCTTGGTCTGGATCTTGGCCTGCATGGCCTCGCCGTCCTCCTTGCTGATCATGCTCGGGCCGTCCGGCAGCTTAATGAGGCCGTCACCATCAAAACGTGGGATCACGTGGATGTGCGCGTGGAAAACGGCTTGACCGGACGCCGCGCCGTTGTTCTGGATGATATTAACACCGTCAGCGCCCGTGGCCTCCAGCACGGCATTGGCCAGACGCGGCAGCTCCTTGAACACATTGGCCGCCACCTCGGGGGTCATGTCCATGACCGTGGCGAAGCCTGGCGCCTTGGGGAGCAATAGAGCATGGCCTGGGGCTGTCGGGAAGGCATCAAGAATGGCCAACACGTGCTCCGTCTCGAACAACTTGTAGCACGGAATGTCGCCCTTGATGATCTTGGCGAAGATATTCTCCGGGTCGTACGCAATGGGAGCCATGATGATTTTGAATCGAAAATTTTGATATGTGAGGTTGCGAGTCACAAAGACTAATTTTGATTCGACCAATCGGCGCCGAGAACCTCTCAGAATTTATGTAAAGAGGAAGTTCACCATACATTTTTTCTTCTGGGCCTCACCATCTGAGGCCAGAAGAAAAAAATATCCGAGCACTAAAAGGTTCTTGTCTGACACACGCCACTTCACTTTGTCTTTCGCCACCAGAGCAGCAAATCGGCGCCAAAGAATACCATGAACCGCGCACTGGAGACAGTTTTCTTGGACTTTTCCCGTCATGCTACGGCCCGCAGCTACTATTCCTATCCGGAGGTGCGTCATGTCATAGGAATAGTGGAACGCCAGTGTCGAAAGCTAACTCTCTCACTGCACAGGGCTCCCGCAAGTCGAACTTCGTGTTTCGCGTCACCTACGAAGGCCAGGATCCGATAGAAGACGGTCGTGTGATCCTTTTCTTCGCCCCTAGTCCGGAACCGGAGCCGCGCTTCGAAGCCTTCGACCTGGAAGCCCCTCGCCCGATCTTCGCAAAGGATATCGTACGTGTGATATTTTCGCGATAATTTGACGCTTCTAGGTGATTTATTGATGGTTTTTATCCGCGTTGTAGAGAAATGTGCAACCTGGCGATGTGATAGAATTTGAAAGCACCGAGTACTCGACGCCGGAGGCTCTGGGCTTCGTACCGCAGAACCTCGACGTGTTCTCCAACGAACTCTTCGTCCAAGCATTAATTCACCACGGTACGGTTGTGTATTATATACTATAGCTTCACGTAGTTCTAACGAGGAAGGGTTAAATGGTGTGGTTTAGATGTGAACGACCCGGATGCGAATTCTAGGGTGGGCAACACTTATAGCAAGCCCGTGGAAGTTCGGTTTGACGACGACGAAGCTGACAATGTTGTCAAGATTGTGGCGGACCAAATTGTGGAGGAGACAATGGATTTAACTCCGACCGAGTGGGTGGAGCATATCTCGATGAAGAGCGAGTTGTTGAGCGACTACCACAACCAAGACGTCTACATGATGGCGTCGATCGTGCTACCGAAGGACTACGAGACTTTGAAGGACTCACAGCACTTCCCGACGGTATACTATATTGAAGGGTTCACTGGCACCGAGTCGTATGCGAAGCGTGCCAAGGGCTTTTTGTCGTCTGAGATGGGACAGGATTGGCAGGCTGGTCGGTGGCCGACTCCAATGCTAAGAGTTACGCTGGGATCGCGCTTCAAGTTTGGTCACACCTCGTTCGCTGATACAGATGCAAACGGTCCGTGGGGTACAGCACTAGTGGCTGAATTTATCCCGTATCTGGAAAGTTTGTATCCCGCGATTCCTTCAGCTGCTGGTCGTTTCCTGCACGGTCATTCTTCTGGTGGTTGGTCGACACTATGGCTACAATTACAGTTCCCTGACTTCTTTGGTGGTACATGGAGCTCTGCACCTGATCCTGTCGACTTCTCGAGATTCCAAGTTATGAATATTTACGAGGCCGAGAACGCGTATTGGGACTCTAATGGGCACCCGTATCCAACCAGCCGAAACAATGGACTCACTACATGCAGCAACCGGGATGAGAATTTGGTGGAGCGTGTGTATGGCCGCGGCAACGGTGGGCAATGGGATGCCTTTGTAAGTTCAAGAGCATTGGTTCATTTGCTTGTAATGGTGCTAACGTTCTTGTTGTAGTGTGCTTTATTCAGTCCACGCGGAGCTGACGGAATGCCGATCCCGCTGTTCGACAAGGTATCCGGTGACATCAACCGGGACGTTGCGGAGTACTGGGAACGCTTTGATATCTGCAAGTTCATTCGGAAACAGCCCGGGCTGTTGACCACAGAACTGCGTGGTAAGGTTCACGTTATCTGCGGCATTGAAGACACGTACTACCTCGACTTCGCATGCCGGTCGCTACAGAAGTTGGTTGGGAGCAGCAAAGCCAACGCTGAAGATGGCTCTGCTGTGCCCAACTACGTGGCGATGGTACCTGGAGATCACACCAGCATTCGGTCGCGTGCGCATTATCTCCAAGTGTACTCGGAGATTGCTGCTGTGTACAAAAGCAATGCTAACGCTTAAAAGTGGATGGGTACTTAGACTGATGGATTAAAAGCAATAAACGATGTCAAGATACTTCACCATGCTGTCTCTTCTTGTCCAAATAATGCTTGGTCTGGCTCCTCAACCCCCAAAGAATGCTTATGGCCACCATTTCGCGAAAGCTGTGCAGCAGTCTCTAAATAGCGGCGTCGGAACTGCTGAAGTTATTCTCGAGGCTCTCCCCAGAAACGCGCCCGCTTTCTTAATCTGAATTATCAGATCTAAATCTGACAGACTTAGACCAAAATTTTACATTTAGGGTGTGCATACAAAAGAAATCAAATTAGCCATGGCGCCAATTGCGGAGCGCGCTAGATGAACCGAATTATGAGGAACAAAGAAAAATGTTTTACTTAGTTTTTGTATTGAATCCGAAAAAACGCCCGCTTTACAAAACTCGACACACATTGAGTCCTCAATCACTTTGCAATCTTCCAGCTAGCCCTCGCCAAGACTAAGACCCCCACCATCAGCAGCAACACGAATGGCCACCCCAGCCCGTACCAGTACCACGTCGACGACACGAGCCTCTTCGCAATCGACAAGGTGATGGAGGATACCTGCGATGAGGCTCGTTGCGTGGACTGGTGCATGCAAGTGGGGCTCATCGACAAGGAGAAGACATGCCCGCCATGCACCTTGCCGATGAGGCTCTCGCTTGTGCGCAAGCGGTGGCGGTGCTGCCGCCGAAAACAGCATGCTGAAGGAAAAGAGATTTCCCTGGGCATGCTGACCAGCTCCTTTTTCACCGAGGCCAAGATTAAGATCTGCAGCGCTGTTCGTTTGCTGGCGTCACATCAAGGCAATGAGAGGCATGGGCAACGACCGTCTAGGCGCCTATCTAGACGAGTATATGTGGTGATCCTAGTTTTTCCCTGCTAAACCTACCTCGGGTCAGGCTTGGTAGTTGCAATTCATGACAGGCTTGGTAGTTGCAATTTTAAGAATCAATAAATTTGTTTGTTTATATCTGAATTTCTAGTTTAGAACACGGTTTCTAAAAAGCGGGCGCGTTTCGGGGGAGAGCCATTCTCGATGCAGGCATGGGCATCACGAAACAGGGCTTTTCCCAATTCAAGTACTGGATTATTTCCATCGTCTTAAAACCAGAACCTGCTTCAAAAGCAGTATCAACATATGCACACTGCAGTAGTGAATAATGTTCGAGAGTAGGTCATATGTGAGCTTCTTATAGGTCAACACACATACGTAACTGTGGAGCTGTATACGTGAGCTCGTTTGTGTCCACGATGGCGTACAAGTAAGACGTAGTCGCGCCTTCAGGTTCTGATAAGCAATCTCAAAGCTATCTTTGGTTTCGCGCTATGAGTACCAAGCTATCTTTAGTTGCGCCAGCTCATCTAGGTTATTGCTAGCTACTTTCATTCCAGCTTATCGCCGACTGAACACAGGAACGACTTCTTCACCGCCCGACCAATCGTCCCACTATTACCATGTCTTCGTCGACTCGCGCTGTCATGAATCTTGCGGGCGAATACGGAACCTCGGAGCTAACGATTGGACTGTCGTTCAGTCCAGGCAAAAAAGCCACCCATTTCATGCAGGACTACTGCTACAACGCCAATGTCCATTGCATCGTTCTAAGCAGCGGTAAGTTGAAGAAGTATCGCTGCGACGACCATCGTGATGGCGATGAAACCGGCTGCAAGTGGGAAGTTCGCGTCTCGTGTAAGAAGAAACGTGGCAATTTACGATTCTTTTTGGTGTCATCAATAAACAACGAGCACAGCGATTTTTGTACGTTTACTGCTAAACCGACCCAACGACTACTTGCTTCGATGGCGACACTTCGTGCCGCTGTCTTGGGCGACAAAAAAATTAAAGGCAAGGGTCTCGTGTCAGTGCTTTAGTCAAGAGACGCTATTAATCTACAGCTCAGCCGATCCATGATTTATCCGACGAAAGAAACAATTTTTGAGGAAGCAAATGGTGAGTGGACGTCTTCTTTTGAACGGCTTCCTTTTATGATGGCCGACTTGCGTGAGTCGAACGCTGGCACCACGGTGTCTCTGCAGGTAGACCAGCACCAACAATTTCTGCGAGGGTTTCTCGCTTTTGGTGCTAGTATTGGAAGTCAGGAGGGATTGCTTTCTTTGCTCGGTTTCGATGGTGCACATTCGAAGCATCCTATGTACAATGGTGTCGTGTTGTCATTGAGCGGGCGTGATGGTAATAATCAAAGCCTCACATTGGCCACAGCACTGGTGAATGTCGCGAACGAAGCCACTATTTTGTGGTTTTTAGAGTTATGCCATTCATCTGGCATTCATCTCGAGGAAGGGGCGATTTTTTGTGATCGAGGAATAATAATAGGGGCTGTCACTCAATTTAACGAGCTGAAGGAGGTTCAGATACACCTTCGGTACTGCACGGTGCATCTGATCCACAACATGAAGAAAAGTTTAAAGTCAGCGGCAAGCCTTTTGAAAATTCTGTATGAGCAGTACAAGGGGCTGCCAGTCTTGTAGAGTATATTACAGCTCTGAAGTGTGTCGAAGAGGATTATGGCAGTGGTGTGGTCGAATATATTATGGAGATTGGTCCTGCAGCGTGAACCGTTCATGCAAATATGACCACGTACGTGCATGAGGCCGAAATAGAGTCCGTGGGAGACGTTCAAGAGTCTGTCGATGAGAATGAAATTGCAGGCAGCGTCCGTGTATTCCCCAAGTCTGGCAGGCCCGTAATATGCACCGGAAGTAATATTGACTCATGCCTAGAGTGCAACAGCACAACGGATCTTTTGTTGAACGAGTGTGAAGTCATAGAGCAAGATGATCTAAGCGAATCCGATGATCTAAGCGAATCCTGGTGTGAGTGCAATCATTTTGCGTTGACACGAGCTTTGCCTTTGTTTAAGTGGCGTACATCCAACTTCGTCGAAAGCGCAAACAACGTGATGCTCGAGAACGACGTACGGCATTCAAACCCGTGCGGGGCATTTTATAATTTAGCGGTGACTGAAATGGAAAAATTTAGCAAAAGACGTAGTGCTGGGAAGGAATGGCAAAATGCCAAACGAGTCCTTACTCCGTACATAAAGAATCTGTGGGAGACTGAAAAGCGCGCGTAGGAGAGTACAGAGTGACAAGGTCAAGTGACATGGTGTCGTGTGTGTCGCACCCAGGGGCCAAAACACGGAGCCGCGAAGTCAACGTTAAAGAGCTGTCGTGTACATGTTCTACGTTTGACCAGATGAGGATGGCCTGCCGGCACATCTTCGCAGCTCTACGCGACCGTGGCCTACAGACCCAAGCTCTTGGTGCCTTTCATGCTGCTTACTTGGTTAGCACCTACTGCGCAACTTTCCAAGATAAGAGCATTGCATTACCTGTACGTGACGCCCCTCTCGGGGTTGAAGCAATGAAGCCTTCTCCGTACTATAAGCAAGCAGGGCGTCGAGTTACTCGACGAATTGCAAGTGCTGGCGAGACAGGAAACAAGTCGACTTACGTATGTAAAACGTGTCGTCAAGGTGGGCATAACCGTAGAACTTGTCGCCGACACGCAAACGAATCTGACGATGTGAACGCTAACCTCAAGTCGTTCGAGTACAAGCTGCCGCACTTCGATGAAAATAGTGTGGATGCAGCGGATATGGAGTGTGATGCGCCGATAGATTCTGCCAGCGCGGAGATGAACCACGACACTCATGTCGTGTCAACCCAAGCTACCCCCATGTCAGTACAATTCTTGCTGGGTGGCGACAAGTAAAGTCATACGTTGGTACTGCTTTTGAAGCTGGTTCTGGTTTTGAGACGATGGAGGTAATCAGGTACTGGAATTGGGAAAGCCCTCACAAAACATTTTGTTTTTCTCAATTCGCTTTAGAAGCTTGTCCACGGTTTGACGGCATCCGTCGTCAAATAGCTTCGCCTTGGGTAGGCTTTTAGAGTGCTCAGAGTTGATCTCTACATGCAGCGGAGAAAAAAAAAGAGGGCCATCCAAAGCACCTTTTTTAAATCACTAATACGATGAAAATGATGATTTGCACCACTTAATCAGAAAGTCCCACCAAAAATCGGAGCAGCACACCTCACTAAAAATAAGAGCACGTGGTGCTGTCCCCGACTGAGATTCATGTGACGAGGCAATAGTACCCGACTGAAACCGAATGGGGCAACTAGCCAGTTTGTAAAAAAAAAAACTGGACGAAAAGACATGTATACATGGTAATACGTATAGTTGGATAATTCCCCATCGAAATGTATGCTCCGCGCTCCGGCAAGTTGTGCCACTTTTTAACTAAAATTAGCTTCTAGTTATATTGTGTATCATATCTATAGTATGGCAAGTGTGATACTGTCGTAGTGCGGATACAGTTCGGGTACAGTCGGTTAAAATGTACCCGACTGTACCCCGACTCAAGGTGTGCATCAAACGGTAGGCTTTTGTAGTGTAGTGTGCGGTAGTGATGTAGGCAATACAAGGCAATGATAATAGCTAGGTCGTAGGAAAAATGCACACGTTTATTCGAACCTTAAATGCATAGCACGAGGTACCAATAGCGTGAATACGCTAGCATTTTCAGCGTGATTATGCACAAGTGTAGTCTTGGTCACACACAATGTGACGGGGCCACACAGCACCTTGCGCTGAGGAAATAGGCTTCCTACAGTATACAAACTGTAAGTGAACGACCGTTCACGTGTCCGTGGTCTGGGCCGACGAAGTACTCACTCAAGGGTACGATTAAAGACTGCATGTATTTATAGGTAATCTTAGCTTGGTTTCTAATACAAACTATATGTCGCCTATAGTAAGACTATGTAGAGATGCAATGATTGGCTCCT